TATTTATAATTATTTAAAATAATTAAAAGTTGAATATACCTTATTTTCCCCGCGATTTCGCAAGGGCTCGAGACCTAGTCCCGGTAATAATAGAATAGCCTTTCATTAAACTATAAAAAAAAATGTTGTCCACATGATCAAATGAAATAGAAATAAGATGAACAATTTCATTGAGATGAGACCTTAGGTCATCATACTCTGTGATACCACCGATTCTAACTCTTCTACTCACATTGTTCTTCTTTAAATCCCAATAGAAAAGCTCAAAGTCAAGAAATGATCTCCCCTGCATCAGTGGTACCGCAGATTCTTAGGTTGAAATTCCCATATGAATCACAAAAAGAAGGCGAAAAAACACTAAGTCTTGGACCAAAGCTGCTTCTTAACATCATCAAGAATCCACAAACTATAACTCTTATCAATGGTGACACAAAAGCAGGCCACTTTCCCTTGGTAGTCTATTAGATGAACTAACATCTCTTCTTTAGGTGGTCCTTCCATGAGAAGTAACCGTTCAGATCCAACATCAAAACTCACAATCAGATATCTGGTCGGTGGATATGCACTAGCTCCATAATACACAACTCCATTGATGCATAATGGTTTAGTACGATGAAAATAATGGATACTACTTTCGACACGCCTCCACAAGGAGAAGGAAGTTCTTTCGCCTCCGCCTCCTCTCAACGTACACACACTATGTTCAACAGATCCAAATCGGGTTCTCCTCACCTTGCGAAAAATCTTGTACTGATCATTGCTTGTGTCATATCCCAAGCACATATAACAGATATAAGGCTTAGATTCAAGCTCGGTTAATGGGTCATTAGGTTAACGTTATGACTTGTCTTTTTGTTGGATTTTATATCACAAATTCACTATCCCCGAGAGAGAGACAGATGATGCCACGGACAGAACTGGTGAAGCCCAAGATATTAGAACGAGAGATTCTTGAGTCGGGCATGTCGTGTTTGGATACTATTGATGAATGGTTTGAATCTTGGGGATGAGGAAGAGGTGAAGATAAAAAGAGCAACCGCCTCTCATTACCGCGAAGAATACTGTAGCCGAGGAGGATACATGGTTGAGATAGAGACAGAGACATGAAAGAGTCGATGAATGATCGGCTACGAATGATGGAACACCATCGCTTAGAGACACATCTGAGTTTGAGAAGAGATTTCGCAGGCAATTTTGTCAGTACCTCAATCAACATATCTAGAGGTAGCATTCTCTGTTGTCAGCATCTCTCTTTTGAGTTGTCATGGTGGATTACAAGACAAACCCTAGAAAACTCTTCAACAACTTGTAGGTATTTATAAGGGTGTGCCGATTATTTTTCCCAAAAAAACAGGAAAGTTTATAAGTATTAGCTTGTACACGCGCATACACGCGGATTTTGTTTGATATAATATTTTTATAAATATATTTATATTAATGTATATATGTAATTAATCATAAGAATATAATAATTTACTGATTGTTTGGTATTAATTTTTTTAAAAACAAAAATTTATTAAACAAATATTTTTTTTTAAGATTAAAAATATGATAAGTAGGAAAATTATTCTACCATTTTAGAAATCATAAACATGATATGAGTAAAAAAAACTATATTTTTTTAGTTAAATTGCTTGAAAACATATAATTAAGATTTAGACTCTAATGAGTTTAGAGATAACCTGCCGAATAATGGAATTGTGTTTTTAAACACGATTTCGCAGGTTTTTCGCAGACTCTCTAAACAGACTTAACATATTTCTAGAGCAAGCCTCAAGATCATAAAATCAAATTTAATTTGTTTTTTCCTTTTAGTGAGATTATTTTTCTAAGTAGAACTTCTTCACAAACTAAAAAAATTGAAAACAACGTCTTTAAAACCTAAATTTATACATTTTCTCAGATGAAAAAGTTGAAAAGACGAAGAAGTTGAAAAGATATTTGATTGAAAATGTAAATGTTTCTTTAAAAAAAAAAGGACTGATGCAATGTCTTATATAAAATTTACATTTAATAAATTGAAAATTGGAATAAATGCCATTAAATTTCTTTTTAAAATATACACTTGTTGGTCTCTGGAATGCTGATGTGGCGAGCTGTGGGAAAGGATCCACCTCTTTTCATATATACTAGGTGAATATCCGCACATAACGTGCATGTTTCTTTTTTCAACTATTCAAATTATATATTTTTATATTTTCTTAAAAAAATTTAATCATCATTTGTTTTTGTTAGTATATTATTATAAATCAATCAATTTAAAATATAATATAATTAAAAAATCAAAACTTTATACAAAAAAAAATCTATCAATGTCTTAATTAATTATAGAATTAATTTTTGTTTATTATTTACATAAATATTATTTAAGAATCAATTAATAAAAAAATTTTCATTTTCTTTGAGTTATTTAAAACTTAATATTAAAATTATTAATTATTTTTTTTTTTAAATGTGATATGTGTCATCTTCATATCGATAAAAACTCATGATGTGACACTCATATAGAAAGAGAAGTTGGCCCTCTTTTATATATAAGACTAAGTGAATACCCACACGTAACGCGCAGATTTTTTTTTTCAACTATTTCAAATATATATTTTCGTAAAAGTAAATATAATCATCATTTGTTAGTATGTTATTATAAACACTCTTAAAAATAAATTTAAATATATATTGAATATTATTAAATAATCTAGAGTTATATAAAATAAAATAAATATTCATCTCTATTTTTAATTATTTATAACATAAATTCTTATTTAATATTACATAAATGCTATTTAAGAATTAATTAATAAATATTATTTACATAAATAACAGTTTTAACTGGACAGGTGTTACTCTCTTCGATACTGATGTGGTGCAAAACTGGAGAGAGTTAATCATCTTTTATAAATAAGATAATTTTGTTGATAAATAATAGTCAATAATTAAAATAAAATAAAAATGGATAGAAAGAATAGTATAGGCTATTGCTACACAATGTGCCCACGTTTATGGTTGAACGAGTTGACTTGTCTATGGCTTTTTGTTTGCTTGTAGAATAGTATATTGTCTATGGCTTTTTGGCTTATAGAATAGAAGTGTATATTATTTCGATTTGATTAACCAGTAATGAGACATAAAATATGTTGGTTTGACACGGGAGTTTTTTTCATTATGTATGATTTTATATATACAAATTAATTGAAAAACATATGTAAACATTGTGTAGTTAATATATATATATATATGTAGAAAAGTTAATTATTTTAATTGAACTCTTTTTGGGTTTTTTTTTTAAGATAATCAAAAACCAGTTAGTACCCACCTCTTGCCAACAGTAATATAATGGGCATATTTCTTAAATAATTACTAACATATCTTTTTCCATGTATCCATAACAAACTCATATTCCAGTTCTTCATATGCAGAATCCATCTTTACACATTAGTTTCTAGCATGAAATATGAATACTCATACAATATTTAAAAGTAAAAAAAAAACATTTAGATTAAAACCTGGCTTTATCCTAAACCAAGAGTTCTTTCTTGTACACTCTGGATGGGAAACCAAAAATAATTAGAAAAAGCAGAAATATAACAATTAAGCATTGTTAGTTAGTATATAAATTCTAACTTTACTTAGTTCAATATAGTGATACAACTAAAAAACCAACATAATTTGGAAAAAAACATACCACCTCATTTTGATTTATCTACTTCTTATGTAATTGCGAGTCAACATAACAACAAATGAATTAAAACTTGTTTCCACACCTAAAATAGTTTACTTCAATTTATCTTTGAAAGTGTTCTACTAATCCAAATACACTTCATATAACTAAAGTAATAAGAATACTCACACTAGTTTTGAATACGAATTACATAATTACAGACCTTTTCAGCAAAATCAAAATTACAGAAATATCTAATTCATCAAAAAATTCTCATGTCTATCTCAAATGATACAAATTTCTGAATATATTATTTCTTAAAAAAACCTAAATATCTTAAATAAATTTTATAGAAAATCAAATCACCTAAATAAATCAAACGGTAGAATATACATAAAATACACACACAAATTACCTAGCTATAATCAGTACAACATCAGCCAAACCTCTCTTCAAAAACTTGATTGTAGCCATCTTTTCCTCTGAAAACTTCAATCTGATAAGCTTTATATCAGTGCTTTTATTATAATATACTTTAACCCAAGAACTATTTTTTAAATCTGATTTTAGTGGGGTTTAAGTTGGGTGTATACGTGTGATCCTTTTCAAGTTTCTTTTTCTACAAAGCAGTTTGTATGGGATCTACGTCTATCCATTTGCGCAATGAAATTTATATTTAAATTTGGTATAGAATGAAAAATATAAGTCTTCGATTTTTATTAAAACCCGTTAAATACGGGGACGATCAAATATCAAACCGAGGCATACTCTAATCCATTCGAAAATAAGATTTATCAAATGTAAGATTAATATTTTAAATGTTAGGCTAGTGAACTATTAAATTAGTGAAAAATCAAACACCATAGAAAATATAATTTGCCAGAGTTGAAATAAACAAATATCATATAATCATGTTCATTCAATCTCTTAATGGTAGAGGTTAGGAAGAGTAAATCCGGATATTATTAAGATCTGTACATTATTAAGAGGCTCAAATTATCAAAGAAGTTAGAGATTGACACAAATTGGAGGTAACAAGTGGCTAATTTTAATTTGGTTTTTAAAGTTGATGTGTTAAGATGAGAAATTTATGTGTCAAAAGTTTGTGAGACACAATATAATCTTATATAATAGATATGGTTCCTATGAGTTTTCCCCTAAAAAGAAGTTGAACCTCAAACAAGTCAAATGTGTATGTACCAAGAAAGCAAATATCTGAAAACTCCCATTACCAACAATTCTGAAACCAAAAATATATTTCTATTCATAGCGAGAGGAATTTAATTAGAATTGCCAATGATTACTTCTTTCCAATTTTAAAAAAGAACAATTAAAAAAAACTATGGCGGGCTGCTACAAAAACCAGCTCTATCTCACGGCCATCGCCGTTACCGTGATCCTCTGGGTGGCCAGCCAAACCGTAGAAGCACATTTCAACAGACTCTGTGCTCAAACCGCATACCCAACATTGTGTCAACCGCTGGTTAAAGGGTCAAACCTGAAACGTGCCGTGCACAGCACGATTTGTGCCCTCGAGAATAAGACGAAACAGGCGATTGCAGACGCTGCTAGGTTCAAAAACGGAAACCAACAAGTCGCGATTTGCCATGCGACACTTACGGACGCGGCCTTTAATCTTGCGAAAGCGAAGACGAGCATCAAGAAACGAAATGTTCTGTCGCTGAAAATGTTTTTAACCGCGGCTGTTTCGGATTACGGCGTTTGTGTTAACGGGTTCATAGATTCGCGTCAAGTTAACGCCGTTCAGAACGCTGCTGATGCGTTGAGGAAGATGGGAACTAACTGTTTGTTTCTTGCTACATTGATAGATGATCGTCGAACCAAACCAAAAAAGAACAAAAAAAAAATTAACTAATCCCTCAAAAACTGACAAATGATTCTCAAGTATGTAAATTTTTTTTCTCCTGAGGGTGTAATGTAATTATAATAGAATTTTTAATTTCAAATATCTTCCTAGCTAACTAACGAGTTTCTCGATTCTCAAATCTCAATCATTGACAAATTTCAATAACTTCTGATGGATTAGTTTTAATGACATGTCAGTAAACAGAATTGGAGGAAATGTTTTGCAATTACCAAAATATTTCTGAAGAGGAGATTACATTGTGAGAGAGTTTCGTTCTCTCAACTGTAAATCAAAGCTAAGCTCGAAACAATTCAAAGAAAAATGAACAAACAGTCTTGAGAAGAAAGTAAAACAGACCCATAAGATTGATTTGCTGATTCTCAATCATATAATTATAGCAACGTTTATTACCAATAAGAAACAGAGCTCTGAGAATGCAAGCGCCCTTACACGACTGATAATAATGTCTTGCCTGAACGTAAAAAAAATGAAGGAGAAAGAGATGGAACAGACCTCATTCTTCCTGACATATTTCATCGAGCAGCTTCTGTGTCGCTTCATTAACCTCCACGTTTTCCATCTTCAGGCGTCGACGCATAGCAGGAGGACTCTTTCCTGCTGCTGCATATATTCTTATCAATGTTTCAAAGATTTCTGTGCCTACATCATCTTTTCCCTTCTTTAATATCTCTACCAAATTCTCAGCTCCATTAACATCTTTCTTTTCCTCGAATTGGCTCATCAAAGTTCTGATTGTCTCCTGTGACGGTAACCACTTGCCACCATCTCCTTTGCCGATAGAAACTGCCTCAGATATACATTTGAGTGCTTGAGCCGTATCACCGCTCTTTACATAGTAATCCATGAAGATCTCCCACGTTTTTGCATTAGGCTTTCCTCCTCTTCTTGGAGCTTTCTCCTTGAGCTCTTTTGCTTTTTCAATGAGACCCTCTTTCGTATAAGCTCCAATCAACACATTCACAACCCGTATGTCATAAGTAGAACAGTTAGCTTGCCATTCCTTGAACAGCGTCTCTGCACCAGGTAAATCTTTCAAGTTCACCAGCACTTGTATCATGTTCAGATACGCTACATTCGTGGTTTTCGGAATAGCCAGCCTCAATGAACGCCAAATCCTATAAACTTCAGTCAGTTTTCCCAGTCTTCCATACAATGTAATAAGAAACTGATACGCCTTAAAATCCCTTTGCGTGTTTTTCATCTCCAGTTCCTGAAGAGCCTTCTCAGCTTTCTCAGATAGTCTCGCGTCAACGTATATAGATGCCATGTTGCTGTACGTAGTCCAATCTGGAGCAACTCTACCATCTCTATTCATCTCTTCAATGACTCTCTCGACACCAGAAACATCCTTTGTAGCAGCCAATGCTCTCATCCAGACATTGTATGTGTATGAATCCGGCATGACATTCTCGGCTTTCATTTCCTGAATCATCGCTGGAACCTTCTCAGGCTGTCCTGTCTTTGTGTAAAGAGTCATGAGGCTGTTGTAAGACATCGAGCTAACAGTAATGTTGAGCTCTTTCATCTTGTTCAGTAGACCTTCCGCTTTCTCTGTCATCAGCTCTTTGCAATAGCAGTTCAAAAGAGAAGCGTAAGTGAGCTCGGTTTTAGATGTTTCCGGAAGATCAACGAAATAACTCTCCCCAGCAGCAATTCCTCGAGCTTTCGCAACAAGATCAAGATGTATTGCTTGATCACTCACCGTCTTGTTCATACCTCTCTCTTCCATAACTTCAGATAGCTGAAAAGCCGAAAAACAACTCTACAATAAGTATTCGCAAGCAGAAACCTAACTAAAGAAACAAGCATCACACACAGGACATCTAGTTTACAGTTTCGAGGTCACAACCAAATTTCAAGAGAATCACTTTCCTCCTATACCAATTTCAAGAGAATAGATCCAATAATTACTAGATTGTTCGTCATGAGCATCAAAGACGACCACTCTAAGAATCTACATTTATACATGTATTCAATAGATTGAAGCATAATGGTTGCAAAATCCCAAAGAATCGAAGATGCGATAGAAACAAAAAGGTTGCAAAATCACCGTTTCGAGGTCACACCAACTTTTCAAGAGAAGAGATCCAATAATTACTAAATTGCTCGTCATGAGCATCAAAGACGACCACTTTAAGAAACTACATTTCTACATCTATTCAATAGATTGAAGCAAAATGTTTGCATAATCCCAAACCATCAAAGATGCGATTTTCAGAAAGAAGATGAAACCTTGAGTGCTGGGTAATAGAGGCCGCGACTTCGGAGCTTCTTGATCGTATCTCCAACCTCCCATTTGAAGACGTGCTTAGTGCCCTTGAGGAACTGATTCAGCTGCTGACGAACACTGACCTCCGAGCCGCCATCTTTGAAAAGCCGATGGTAAAGCGGTTCTTCGAGGTACTTCTTCGTCGATCTCTTTATAATGTCTCTCGGCCGACTCAGATGTCGCAACGCCATTTGTTTCCCGTCGGATCAGTAGTGACTATCTCTCTGAGGTTTTCGGGAAAAACCCTAGTTCACTGTCAAGTTCTCTCAAGCTTGAGAAGAGAAATGGAGGAGAAGAAAACAGACGATGGGCCTTTTAATGGGCTAGATGATTCATTTCATATTGGGCCTTCAAGCGAGCTCCTATAGTAAAATGACACTAAAATGTTCAATAATTGGTTAACATATGCTCAAATTTGACATAAATAATATATATTCAAATTATATTGGATTTCCGATGGACCTTGATATTTTACACATAACACTTAAGCATTTGAAGCGGGTTTAGATAAAATGTTTGAATGAGAAACAACTATCATAAACATTTGTCAGCTGACAAATTAAGTGTGCTTTGAAACAGATGCCGTCTAACTCATTGTCTTCAAGAAAGTCAGAATTGAAGACAGCTTGTAGTTTCTTAAATTAAATAGTTTTTGCTCGATTTTTAAAATTATCTTTTTTTTAACAGATGTTATATATATAAAAACTTATGTTTAAGGTGATTTTTGTTATAATAAGTTTGTGATTATCCAAATTCACCGCCTTACTTTTTTACCGACTTAAAATATCATTATTATTGATCTATAAATAGTCTTCCCCTCCTTCATGTAAAATGGTAACAAAAGAAGTAAAAAGAAGAACTTCTCTCTCACTTCCTCATAGCTCTCAATATCTATAATATAAAATAATATATATACACAAACACATATATACATATATCATCCTATATAATATATAAAACGTTATTAGCACGAACGTTTCTTGATCCGCTTTTATACCTAAAGAGGTAAGATTTAAATTTATGTTTATTTCAAATTTACGTATTATTTCGGGATGATAGGCTCTGTCTTCCCCGAACCGTTAATTTAAATTTATGTTCTATTTTTTTTTTTTAAGTTTATGGGATGATAGGCTCTGTCTTCCCCGAACCGATCGTTATGACAGGCTATGCCTTCACGATCATATGATCACATGGTAGACTATGTCTCCTCGGATTATATATATGGAGTAGAAGGTTAAACCTCCTCCTTGATATTATGATTATAGAGTAGAAGGTTTTGCCTCCTCAAAGATATGGTAGGCTCTGCCTCCTCAAATTATATGGTAGGCTCTGCCTCCTTAAATTATATGGAAGGCTCTACCTCCAATATTATTTTAAATTTTATGCTTTATTATGTGTAAAAATTAAATTTTTATCATGTTTTCTCGTTAAGCAAATTTTAATACTGAACATTTGCTAAATTGATAAAATTGTATACAGTTATAATGTCGAATTTGGCGAAGCTCGAAATCTTTGCCCTTGATGTATCTGGAAAAAAATTATATGTCATGGGCAGTAGGTGCAAAAATGCATCTAAGAGGAAATGGGCTTCTCGATACCATCGATAAGTCGGAAACGACATCAGATGAGAATAAGGTGAAAGCCATGATATTTTTGCTCCACCACATCGATAATAGTTTAAAAGAAGAATGCATCACGAAAGAAAATCCTGCAGATCTTTGGCAATCTCTTAAAGATAGGTTTGATCACAAGAAATATGTGATCTTAATCAAAAGCCAAACATGAGTGGTTAAACCTCCGGTTTCAGGATTACAAAAGTGTTGGTGAATATAATTCCGCTATGTTCGGAATTACTTCCAGGATGATGTTATGTGGACAGGAGGTAAGTGATTTCGACATGATCGAAAAAACTCTCCAAACATTTCATCCTGAAAATGTAATCCTACAACAACAATACCGGGCAAAAGGTTACACCACTTACTCGGAGTTGATGCAAGTCCTCCTTGTAGCTGAACAAAATAATCAGCTTGTGATGTTGAACTATCAAACTCGTCCAACTGGATCATCACCATTCCCAGAAGCGAATGTTGCGTCATCCAGTCAAAATAATAGAACCGAACGCGGACGCGGGCGCGGTCGAAACCGTTATTGCGGTCGCGGACGAGGTCGTGGACGAGGAAGACAAAATGATGTTGGTCGGGAAGCAGGAAAACAAAAGGAAACTGCTTGTTACAGATGCGGCATGAAAAATCATTGGGCAAAAACCTGTCGTATGCCAAGACATTTAGCCGATCTGTATCGAGCATCACAAGGTGCCAAAGAAAAGGATAAAGGAAAGAATTTTGAAACCAATTTCATCTCTGATGAAGCTGGAACTTCCTTTGATGGCCACTACAAGAAAATGGCTTATTGATAGCACTGTTGCATAGCGTAATTATCATAACTGCTATGAAAATCAGTAAACAGAAGCGGACAAAGCTGTAATAGCAGAAAAATAATGTTACATTGAAAATATATAAGTGGGAAGCTGAATTAACACTTTGGCTCGCATAAAACATCTTAACCCGCCAACACTTAGCCAAAAAAAGAGTGTTGTAAACTAAAATAAACATTAATAAAAACATAGAACAAAAATTAGAAAGAACACATCCTCTAGGGTTTTCGACAGTGAGTTCTCTTTGTCGGATTCGAGTTCACGGGTCGGTCACAAAGCAACTAACTCGATCTATACCTCCACGAATTACTCCGGTCTCTACGATCTGCTCTTCACCGGCTGAACCAGAAGAATCTCGACCGTTTGCATCCATATCTTTGGTCGAACCTGGATTAAAAGGTAACACCGATTCTGAATCTTAGAAACCTAAAATTAAGTTTGTCTTTCTGCTTGATTTCACTATCAAATATGCTAGATGTAACTTAATTTCATTATTATGACACGAGGGTTAGGAGTCAAAACTGAAGAGGTGCCGAGAGGGTGGAGACGAAAGATACAACATACTCCTGCCCGACTTTGTCAGGAAATCGGTCTCACAGGTGAATATAACTGATTTAGAGGGTTGTAATTGAATATCTGGGTTTAGATTTCCTTTGCATGTAGAAATTGAATATCTGGGTTTAGATCATTATAACTGATGTTGTGAAGGAACCAAATACCTTTCTGTGGCGGCCGACAACAGAACTACTAGATCTTGAGGATTCGATGAATAAATTTGTAGCGTGGCCGGTGAATAGGGTTGTCTTTGAAACAACGCCGGATTCTACACATCCATTTGAGAAATCTGCAACAACACCACCAGCCCCTATGAAGAAATCTCAATCTCTTTCGGAGTCTCCATCATCTGAAACTCGGGTACTATGATTTCCTTTTGTGATGATAAATGTTTGGCCACCTCAATATGTTTCATATCTGTTAATATATGCAAATTGTACCAGCAGCAGCAATTCATAGTAGAGCAAGTTGGCAAAGAAAACCAGAAGTGCATGCTAATGGATGTTACCGGACAGAAACGTGTGGTAGCTGAAGGAAGGTGGGCTTCGAACAATCCACTCCAAACTGTCCATTTTGTTCCACTTGGTCCAAATGCAGTTAGAGTTTGGGTTGACGTTGTTAAAATCAAAGATGCAAAGGTTTGGAGGAGTTCATCCGAGATTGAGTGTATGGAAGACGCGCTGGGAACATCAATTGCTTGACCAGAGGATAAAGTCATCATCATCTGAAGATACGTAAGATTCCTTTGACATTTTCGCTTGAATTTGTTGTCAATGGATTATGACTGTTTTAGTATTTATCGTCTGTTGTTTGGTCGTGTGTGTACTGTACTATGTCACTCTCAATTAGTTTACTGAATTGAACACTATGTAATGAATTTTTCATATTGGAGTTTGTATTTTCTGTTATTGAACTCCCTTGGAATGACACAACCTGGAACAGGAATACAGAACCGAAATATAGAAATTTCGAATGGCAAAAAAAAAAACCGTTGTAGCATTTTCTATAGCAAAAAAATAAAGATACAACAGATTATAACAAAGCTATAAAAAAATGGCACCACAATAAAGACGACAACAATAAAAAAGAGCTGCAAAAAAAATAAACACAGCATGCGATTTGAACTACGAAAAAGAATTTAACAAGTTCACAAAAATGCTGTTGTAAATAAATGCATGACAATATATCATTGCTACTATTAATATTTAAACAGCGCAAACATGAGCTACCAATAGTTTGAAAACAGCATAACAAATACGCTATATTATATGTCCATATTATAGCTTCTCTCAAAAATGCTACTATATGTGGGTACACTATTATAGCTCAGGCGGTCACAGCGTTCATGAAAACGCTATCATAACCCTAATATAGCATTAATCATGAGCTAATAATGTTAGTTTTTCTTGTAGTGGGCATAAATGATTATACTCATCTTGATATCGCTGACTTCCTAGTTGATCCAGAAGAATCAACGGAAACAAAGCGATTAAGATCGATGTAATGTAAAGTCTTCTAGAAGAAAACAAGAAAAACCCTATGTAATTTTAAATAAGAATGTAATATGTTTTTGTTAACAAGACAAGGTTTTTCTTAGTATAAATAACTTTTAAAATCACGTTTTGATTTATTAATGCATTTTTCTTGCATATTTTGATTCAGATTATGTCATCATTTGAGATTCAGGATGGAGATACATGTCTAGCCGATAGTGCTACGACACATACTATACTTAAAGATAAAAAGTATTTCTCCTGTCTCAAAATAAAGGACTCCGCCGGAAGCGTGGGTACCATATCTGGTAATGCAAATATTATAATTGGCTCCGGAAGAGCCAATTTTTCAATGCCAAGGGGGACAAAGTTTGAAATAAATGATGCATTATATTCCCCCGAATCTAGTAGAAACTTGCTAAGTTTTAAAGATATCCGAGGAAATGGATATCATATAGCAAGTACAAATAAGAATGGCATTGAATATCTTTGCATTATATCTGAGAGGAAACACGTATTGGAAGAATTACCAATGATGTCCTCTGGGTGATATTGCACAAAAATAAATATGACTGAATCCTATGTTACAGTAAACCCGGGGTTTACTAGTACATTTAGAGTATGGCATGAAAGATTTGGCCATCCTGGGTCAGTCATGATGAGAAGGATTGTGCAAAATTTGAGTGGCCACCCATTGAAAAACCAAAAGATTTTTCAATCGGGAGAGTTTTCATGTCAGACATGTTCTCAAGAAAAACTCATAACTAGGCCCTCACCAGCCAAAGTTGGGAATGAATCTCTTGTATTCTTAGAGAGAATACATGGTGATATATGTGGGCCGATTCATCCACCGTGCGGGCCATTTAGATATTTCATGGTATTAATTGACGCATCTACCAGATGGTCACATGTGTGTTTATTGACTACAAGAAATATGGCTTTCGCAAAATTCATTGCCCAAATAATCAGGTTGAGAGCGCAATTCCCTGATTGTGCCATAAAGAAAGTCAGGCTTGACAACGCTGGTGAATTCACTTCAACAGCCTTTAATGACTACTGTATGTCATTAGGAATCGATGTTGAACATCCGGTTCCACATGTTCATACACAAAATGGCATGGCTGAGTCTTTAATAAAACGGTTGCAACTGATAGCAAGACCGTTAATATTGAGAACAAAACTCCCAATTATTGTATGGGGACATGCTATATTGCATGCTGGGGCATTGGTCCAGATGAGGCTAAGTGCATATAATGAATATTCTCCAATACAGTTAACATCTGGCAAATAGCCAAATGTATCCCATCTCCGTATATTTGGATGTGTGGTCTATGTCCCAATAGCCCCGCCGCAAAGAACAAAAATGGGGCCACAAAGGAGATTGGGAATATATATCGGCTATACGTCACCAAGTATAATTAGATATCTTGAACCAGTAACTGGAGATATGTTTACGGCACGTTTTGCCGATTGCCACTTTGATGAAAATGAATTTCCAGCGTTGGGGGGAGGATCAAGAGAATCACCAAAGGATATCACATGGTGTACACAAACCTTGGCTTATCTCAATCCCCCTACCCATCAACGCGAAATGGAAGTTCAGAAAATCATACATTTTGCAAAGGTTGGCAAACCAGTTATCTGATGCGTTCACAGATACGAGAAGAGTGACAAAATCATATATCCCCGCTGCTAATGCTCCATCAAAAATAAATGTTCTGGAACTAGTTATTGATGGAAATAAAGCAAATGAACCGCGGGTTCAGTTAAAGCGCGGGAGGCCAATGGGCTCAAAGGATAAAAATCCTCGAAAGAAAAAGAAATTGAGAGATAAGGTTCCAGAAGAACCGAATAAAGAAAAATGTCTTGAAGACATTGGTGAAAAGGTTATAGAAAAACCATATAAAGATATATGTCCTGAAGACATACATGAAGAGGTTCCAGAAGAACCAATTAAAGAAGTTCGTCTCGAAAACGAACATGATACTGAAAAGTATGAGATTTCCATTAACTTCGCCCAAAGTGGGACATTATGGGCTAGAAGCGAGATAAATGATACAAATGGAATTTTCTCCTTTTCGATATCTAAAGAAATTGAAAATGAAAATGATGATTCAGACCCAAGGTCCGTGTCAGAATGTCAAAAAAGGTCTGACTGAGAGAAATGGCAGATTGCCATGAAAAATGAATTAATCTCCCTAAATAAAAGAAATGTCTTTGGACCTATAGTCATTACACTATAAGATGTAATGCCAGTCGGGTGCAAATGGGTCTTTGTGAGAAAAAGAAATGAGAAAAACGAGGTCACAAGATATAAAGCTCGACTTGTGGCACAAGGTTTTTCTCAAAGACCGGGAATTGATTATGAAGATACATATTCCCCAGTCATGGATGCAATCACATTCAGGTACTTAATGAGCCTAACGGCATCTAAAAATCTAGAAATGTACCTTATGGATGTTGTGACTGCATATCTATATGGATAACTTGATAGTGATATATATATATGAAAATTCCAGAGGGAGTAAAGATCCCAGAAGGATCAAAGATGCCTGTAGCATCTAAGACATATGTTCGGTCAAATTACAGCGATCACTTTACGGATTAAAACAATCTGGACGCATGTGGTATAATCGCTTAAGTGAATATTTGTTGAGTAAAGGATACATCAACAATGTGATATGCCCTTGTATATTTATTAAGAAATCCTCGTCAGGATTTGTGATCATTGCTGTATATGTTGATGACCTGAACATAATCGGAACTCAAAAGGAGATTGATGATGCACAAACTCACATGAAAGAAGAGTTCGAAATGAAAGATCTTGGAAAGACAAAATCTTGTCTAGGGCTCCAGATTGAGCATTTCCAAGATGGAATATTTGTGCATCAATCAAATTACACCAAAAGGGTGTTAAAATGCTTTAAAATGGATAAAGCAACTCCTTTGAGTACTCCAATGGTCAATAGATCACTTGATATTAACAAGGATCCATTTCGACCTTGTGAAGATAGCGAAAATGTATTAGGTCCTGAAGTACCTTATATGAGCGTTATCGGTGGGCTTATGTATCTTGCAAATTGTACTCGACCAGATATAGCTTTTGCTACTAATCTACTTGCAAGATACAGCTCATCTCCAACGCGCAGACATTGGAATGGGATAAAACATATTTTTCGTTATCTCCAAGGTACGATTGATCTGGGTTTATTTTATCATAGAAACCCCGAAGTTGGTCTAGTTGGTTTTGCAGATGCAGGATATTTATCAGATCCGCATAAAGCTCGATCGCAAACTGGATATGTTTTCACAATTGGTGGAACGGCGATCTCATGGCGTTCTCAAAAACAGACTTTGGTCGCCACTTCTTCAAATTATGCGGAAATCATTGCTCTTCATGAAGCATGTAGAGAATGCATATGGCTCAGATCCATGACTCAACATATACAAGGTGCAAGTGGAATAGTCATCGATACGGAACCAACAAAAGTATTTGAAGATAATGCTGCATGTGTCGCTCAACTAAAAGAAGGTTATATCAAGAGTGACAGAACGAAACATATTCCCCCAAGATTTTTCTCTTATACGCAAGAGCTCGAGAAGAATCAAGAAGTCGATATCCAATATGTTCGTTCATGTGAAAATGCGGCGGACCTCTTTACAAAGGCGCTTTCTACTACAGTATCAGCATATTCAAAGTATCGGAATGCGTCATTTGCGAGATTTATGAAGAGAACGCTATTCCATCATTTCAGGAGGAGATTACGTTACTATACTCTTTTTCCCTTGTCATGGTTTTTATCCCACTGAGTTTTTCCATAATAAAGTTTTTAACGAGGTAGTACATAATATATTAACGGTGATGGATAATAAGGGAAAATGTTATAATAAGTTTGTGATTATCCAAATTCACCGCCTTACTTTTTTACCGACTTAAAGTATCATTATTATTGATCTATAAATAGTCTTCCCCCTTCATGTAAAAATGGTAACGAAAGAAGTAAAAAGAATAACTTCTTTCTCACTTCCTCTCTCACTTCCTCATAGCTCTCAATATCTAATATATAAAATAATATATATATACAAACACATATATACATATATCATCCTATATAATATATAAAAAAATTCTACTTTTTGTCCACTGCACAATCATCAGCATCAAGGGAGAGAATGCTGGAATACAAATGCTGTAATTATTTTAACTTCTAGTCATATTCAATAAAATAGTGAGAAAATTGCCATCATTTTTTTTTAATTAAGCACCTTACCCCTCATCATCTTGGGATCAGAACGAATCAGTTTTTACTTGATTATCTATGTGCAGTTGACACTTGTTTGAATTTTAGAATATATTATGGAACAAATACGTTTATACTCTTAGAATATCTGTTAATAAATGGAAACATAAACTAAGCATGGGGGTAAAAATTTTCATAGTAGAAACTAAAAAAAACAAAAATTTTGTCATTGTATTTTTTTATTTAATATAATTCATAGTTGTCTTTTAAAACTTTCATAATCTATATAACTAATTTATTACTTATAACAAAAATTTAAGAATTAAATTATAATATATCATAATTGAGGAATCAAATTATAAATAAAAATTTCCCTCAAAAATTGAAAGATGAGCAGTGTCACGTCTAGAATAATACAACTCTATTTTGAAGAGGAAAATAGAGTAGGATTATAGAAGATTTTACTCTATAATAACATTTGAATTGGAAAATACAATAGATAATAGCCAAAATTATTTATACTCTATTAGACCTTCTTTCATCTGTTTTTCATAGCCAAAATTATTATTTTTTTTAATGACAAAGACCAAGTGGGGTGATGAGATGATTTCTAAGTATATGGATGATGCGCATAGAGTGGTGGTACACAAGTAAGTGAATGACTAAGCTAATTGCAAAGAAGCTTGGTGTTGATGAAAGCGAGGTTCAGAGGGAAGGAAAGAAGACTGAGATCGAAAGACACAAATTTGAAGAAGAAGTGGTGCAAGGCAAACTTGTAGTTCTCCATAGGTGTTGCCTCGAAGAAAATGAGAGGCTATGTACGCTGTTGGTTTATTATATGCCACAAGGTGCCTTAATTATGCAGGACGAAGCGTTGAAACCTCTTTAGTGTACTAGACGATTTTGGATGTGGCTAGAGGACTAGCTAGAGTAAAACAAATGCTCAAAAATTGCTTAAGATCTACCTAAAAAGTGATCAACATTTTCCAAAAATATAAATTAAAAAGATAAGATATGATTCTTAGTTTTTGAGCTAAATACACATTGTGTGAATGAATAGAAGCATATTAACCAAATTTATATATCGAAGTTTCCATATTGTGAAAATTAATAACACTAGCTCTGATTTTAACTTTGTTTTTGGTTTTAAGGTTATTTTGTGAGCCACAATTGGCATAAACCACAAAACCCAATGATACTTACATAAGCCTTAGTTCAGCCAAGGAGAGACTCTGTGTTTGGGTTTTACACTTTTACGTAAACCTTTTACGTGATTTGCAAGTCTTCTTTAGTCAGCCAAGAGAGGGTCTGTGATTAGAATGGCCCACCAGGTCACCAAAGTCAACAACCACAATTTTCTTTACAAATAAAAAAAGCGAATTATGGAATTAAATCGAAGTTTCATACACTCTAAATATTATTATGGAATTCAAAGCAAGAAGATATCAAAAGTCTATCTTGTTTTCTTGTGGACCAAATGAAAGCCTATCTTCAACTATTCTCATCCTCTCTATCTTCAATTATTCTTTGCATCTTTTCTCATCCTCTCTGGTTTGCACATATCAGTAGATTTCAAAAATACTGTAAATGGGGAATTGCGTCTCGCTCTCGCTATCGTCTGATCAATCGATGAATAAAGTCTGTCAATGGCTAGATGTCAAAGGAGGTTATGTTCACAATCTTGAGAAGAATCTTGCAACTCTCGAGACAGCCATGGAAGAGCTCAAGGCTAAGCGGGATGATTTATCAAGAAAGGTCACAAGAGAGGAAGATAGAGGTCGCCAAAGGCTTTCCGAGTTCAAGGTATGGCTTACTAGAGTTGAGACTTTTGAAAACAGAGTCAACGAGCTTCTTAGTGCTAGAGGTATTCAACTTCAAAGGTTGTGTCTTTGTGGGTTTTGCTCTAATAGTTTAATTTCGAGCTATTGTTATGGGAAAAGTGTTTTCTTGACGTTGAAGGAAGTTGAGAAACTCAAAAGTAGGGTTTTCCAAGTGGTTGTTGAGGAAGCTCAAACATTAGAGGTGGAGGAAAGACAACTTCAACCGATAATCGTTGGTCAAAAGGAGATGCTGGAAAAGGCATGGAATAATCTCATGGAAGATGGAGTTGGAATCATGGGTATGCACGGTATGGGTGGAGTAGGGAAAACAACGCTTCTCGCACAACTCAACAACAAGTTTAGTGGCCTAAGGTGTGGATTCGATTATGTGATTTGGGTTGTGGTGTCTAAAGAGTTACAAGTAGAGAAGATTCAAGATGAAATTGCTCGGAAAGTCAATCGTGTTGGAGAGGAGTGGAACCAAAAATCCAAAAGCCAAAAGGCTGATGTTATATACAATTTCTTAAGGAAAAAGAGATTCATCTTGTTTTTAGATGACATATGGGAAAAGGTGGATTTAGTTGAGACTGGAATCCCATTTCCAACAACACAAAACCGATGTAAAGTGGTGTTCACCACTCGTTCCCTGGCTGTTTGTGCATACATGGGGGTTGAAAATCCAATGGAAGTCAAATGTTTGGCGGAAAATGACGCATTTGATTTGTTCCAAAGAAAGGTTGGCAAAATAACACTAGGAATCGATCCAGAGATCCCTGAACTTGCAAGAAAAGTTGCTAAAAAATGTTGTGGCCTACCATTAGCAATCAATGTCGTAGCTGAGACCATGTCATGCAAGAGGACGGTTCAAGAATGGCGTTGTGCGATAGATGTTTTGACTTCATATGCTATTGAGTTTTCCGGTATGACAGATAAGGTCCTTCCGTTTTTGAAGTATAGCTATGATAATGTTGAGGAAGAGCAACTCAAGTTGTGTTTGCTATATTGCGCTTTGTTTCCCGAGGATGATAGCATTCCTAAAGAAAAATTGATTAGCTTATGGATATGCGAAGGGATTATAGATGGAGATGAAAGTATAGAAAGAGCTGAGAACAAGGGTTATGAGATAATTGGTAGTCTTGTTCGTGCATCACTGTTAATGGAGGTTAAATGGTATGGAACAACGAATGTGTGTATGCATGATGTCGTTCGTGAAATGGCCTTATGGATTGCAACTGATATGGGAACACAAAAAGAGGCTTACATTGTAAGTGCATGTGCTGGTTTAACTGAAATGCCAAAGGTTGAGAACTGGAACGTTGTAAGAAGGATGTCATTGATAAAGAATAAGATTCACAATCTTGATGGCAGTCCTGAATGTCTCGAACTCACAACCTTGCTACTACAAGAAGCGAATTTGACAAACATCTCCAGTGAGTTCTTCAAGTCCATGCCAAGACTAGTTGTTTTGGATCTATCTTACAATGGAAGTGTCTTTGGATTGCCAGATGGAATATCACAACTAGTTTCTTTGCAACTTCTCAATTTGTCATATACAAGTATACGTCATTTGCCTTTGGGTGTGAAAAAGTTGAAAAAACTCACTCACTTGGATTTGGAGGAAACAACTAAGCTTTCAAGTATCACTGGGATATTATCAAGTCTGCATAAGTTGAAGATACTGAATTTATCTCGTGCTGGTTTTTCATTGGATTGCGACGTACTGGAGGAATTGGAAACCTTGGAACATTTGGAAATTTTGACTATAGACATCGATCATCTTCCAGGTTTGGAGAAATTTTTGAGCTCTCATAGGTTAACGTGTTGTACACGAGACCTAACGATCAGGTGTACGCATGTGGAATCATCTGGAATATCACTTCCAGTAACTATGAACAAGCTTCGTGAAATGAACATTATATGGTGCAGTATCTCTGAGATAAAAATCAAAAGCAATACGGTTTCTCCATTACATAATCCGAGAAACACATGCTTCTTGAGCCTCTCCAAAGTGATTATAATGGATTGCAAACGCTTGAAGGAACTAACGTTTCTGATGTTCGCTCCAAATCTTAGAACTCTCTCCGTAGGATCAGCAAATCAACTCGAAGATATAATAAACAAAGAGAAAAGTTGCCAAGGTGAAAATTCAGGGATGGTTCCTTTTCGAAAGCTGGTATCTCTTACGTTGTGTGATCTACCGATGCTGAAGAGTATCTATTGGAGTCCTCTACCTTTTCCATGTCTCAAAAGAATCGATGTAATCAGATGTCCAAATCTGAATAAGCTTCCACTCGATTCCCAAAGTGGCACAAATGGACTCGTCATAAGATACACTGTGAAAGAATGGATTGAATGTGTGGAATGGGAAGACGAAGCTACCAAAACCCGCTTCTTACTTTCATGCCTACATGTCTAAAACTTCTCCTCTTTTCTTATCTGATTTTGTAGAAATCTATTTTCAGTTTTTTAGCTGCTTCCATCTTTAATGCCTCTCTGTGTGAGAGTTCTAAGTAACATTTGATATTTGTTGTAATGTAGTTTTGTAAGCGTTTGACAATTTTGATCTATATAAATAGTTACAGAAGCAGAGGGACCCATTGGTCTGAAGAAAGAAAAAGTGGAGCTCTAGTTTCGAACATCAAACTGTTTATATTAATTCAACTAATCAAAATATTGAGAATCTGAGACGAAACACATTCATGTTCCTTTGCAGACTGGGGAAAAGAAAAGACTTATTTCATGTGGGACTTTTCATTGGGATTGTGGTGGGTCTGCGCATAAGAGTAAACTGCAGAAAGGAACAAAGGTTGCAGTACTAAGAGGATGGAACAATCCTATAGGCAGAAAATGTATAGATGAATTCAAATCTCAGGTTAGTGTTCTAATTTTATAGTCTAAAGAGGAGAGATTATATCGGTATATAATGCACATGAAAAGCTAGTTAGGACCAAATTTTATTAGAACTAGTAAGTCGGTTATTTTTCAAAGCAAATTTTTGCTACAAAATTTGTAATTTAATATTATTCCAACCCCCAGTATAAAGGTAAAATACATCTAATTAGTGAAAGTGATACTTGTATAGTACAAGCATATCCATTGTCATCTCTTCTTTTGAGTGTGTTCTTATACTCTATAAAATCTTTCTTTCATCTGTTATATAACCAAAATATCTTTTTAAAAAAATATATAAAAAATGACAAAGACCAAGTGGGATGATGAGATGATGAGATGATTCTTAAGTATATGAATGCTGACTTTTGTGTGGAAGCACAAAGAAACCAACCCAAGTCTAAATTTGGAACGTAAATGCACTTCTGATCCCGTCCAAGTGGAGCGAGTTTGAGCTTCTTTGTAGATACTTTTGCCTAAAGAATTTGAGATTTTTTTTCATTTTTTTTGCCTTTAGAATTTCTAGTTTTTTAGAGTAATTTCAGTTGAGTAAAACATTTTGAAAATTTCATTTACGGTACAACTTAGTATTTGCTGTAAAACATGGAGCATCAACTAATTTTATGATCAATTCATTGAGATCCAATCACTTATCATATAATGAAAAAAAAACATAACTACTCAACAAATACACTTATTTTGTATGAATATTTATAAGTCAAATAGTCAAAACCTAAGCTAAATCTCTTTTTTGCTGGTTCATTGATTTAACAAAAGATCAAGTAAATGTGCATTTTAAGTACAAAACTTAGTTCAGATAATGTCAAGATAATAATTTAAAAATATGTATTATGTTATTAACAGGTCCGACCCATAGCATAGGCAAATAGGCTATGGCATAGGATTCAAATTTTTTTTAGCATAGTTTTTTTATTAGAATTTTTTTTTCTGAAGAAATATGACACATTTTTATATAATAGATTAAAGTTTCTGATTAACTTGGACTAGCGCTTGTTATTAACAACCTTACTACTCCAGTGATATAAGAATGTCATGGATGATTGTCACGAATCTATCATCATCACTCATCAGTTAGACCAGTTAAAATTTTTAACAGGATTATTATGTTTTGGTATTCCAAGATTTCAGAATTTATTAGACACTAAATCTGAAATATCAAATTGTTAGTGTATAGAATGATAAATAATATTTTTTTGAAAAAACATATATTGTGTAAACATATAATTTTTTAGTTGAGCTACATGTGATATTAACCAGAGAGGAAGTAGAAAATAAAAAGAAGATATAGTAATTATAAGAAAAAAATGAATAGTGCTAATAAAATGTCTAAAAAGTGTAAAGCATAATCTCTCAATCGCAGACGTTCTCCGCTTTCTTGTTTTCCTTAGCGTCCGATCAATTAATCTCTCTCTGGATCGCCTTTGTATCCTCCTTCCAATCAATAACTTCTCGCCTTTTTCGCCTTTTTTCGAATCCCTTTGATAATCAATCTTCTCTTCTTTTCTGATTTGTGTTTTATCTACAATTTTTCTGATTTCACACATCTGTACACTAAAAAAAAATTCGATCGAATATATCCACAAACAAAACTTAAAAATAAAATCTGAAACACACAATAAAAATTGTTTTAGTAACTTTGAAATATTGAAATAAAATTTGATATTTTTAGCAATTTTTTTTACTGTTTTGTTCTATACTCCCTCCGTTTCACAAAGAGTGTCGTTCTGACACTTTTTTTTTGTTTCAAAAAGAATGTCGTTTTAAAATTTCAATGTAATTTTTAGCATAAAATACCATTTTTAACCTCAATAAATTCAGAAAATTAATTATAAATATAATTCTAAGAGTCATTTTCTGCAAATTAATAAGAGTATAAGAGACTTTTTATTTTATTTCTTAATTTGTGTGAAAAATGTCAGAACGACACTTTTTGTGAAACGGATGGAGTATTACTTATGCTTAAAATATAAAATCTATAAATAGAAATGCTAGCGGTATTAGTTTAAAGCCGCCGAAAGTAAATGCTCTATTGTCTCTTCTCGAGAGATTTTCGTAACCAAAAACCAGAAACAACAGTTTTAATCAAAGACCAAAACGTATTGGTAGTAAGAAAACATAAAAATAAAGTAAACCATGCCGTGAAACGTTAAAAAGGACCGCATGTAAAATAAAATAAAATCACCATAAAGATAAAGTCACAAGAATATGGTTACTAAAACAAAACAAAAAGGCAAATTTGATCAACTAAAAAAAAATTTCAAAACGTTTTACTTTCTCTACGTTTGTCCTGTTTTGTTTTGTTACATTGATTTTGGCGATTCCCCAAACGAATGTGAGAACCACAATTGGCATAAACCATGAAACCCAGTAAGCTTGCAAAAATCTTACCTCAGGCAGGCGGACCTACGTTGATGAACAGGGGTTCATATGACACCCTATAAATTTATATATTAGTAGTTTTGTTATGTGTAACTTGATATTTTATAGCTTATTTGGTTAGATTTGGCCATATTTGACACCCCTCACTTGAGTTCGAACACTGACATAACATTATTCGTTTTACCCTAAAACTTTTACGTAATTTGTAAATTTCAACTCTTCTTTGGTTTAGCCAAGGAAGCGACAGCCCTCCAAAGTCAACAACCACAATTTTTTTTTCTAGTAGATATAATAAACAAAGAGAGAGGTTGCCAAGGTGAAAATTCAGGAACTGTTCCTTTTCGAAAGCTGGTTTTTAGTGTTAAAGAATATTTATTGGAATCGTCTACCTTTTTCATGTAAAGAACGATGTAATCGGATGTCCAAATCTGAAAAAGCTTCCACTCGATTCCCAAAGTGGAACACATGGTTGAAATGGACTCGTAAGACCATTCACAACCCTGAATTCCATAATGGGTTTATCAACAATTTTTAATAATTTTTAGAGGAGAGAGAATATGAAAAAACCTTGGGTGAACTTGGATAAAAAATGGGTGTCCAACCCTGATACCCATTTTGGGGTTCAACATGCCCAAGCCATGTTCTCGATAGCTTCATCCTCACGAAGAGAGCTCACTCCAGCTGATAGACATTGCTAACCTCGCAACAACAACATAAACATTTTGATGGTTATACTACTTAAGCAAAACAATCAATGAAACCTACAAAGCAATATCCGATCAGAAAATTTTATCAACAAAAACCGTAATTTTATCATCAATTTTAAAAACCTTAATAGGCAAAATGCGGAACCGATTGAATATAAGAACAATGAATCGCATACAAATCTTACTAAACACCAAAAGCCCCAAAAAAACTTCCCGCAGCACCTTAATTTTCCCCTAATTTAGTAAACTCTAGTATCGATTCAAACGTCCGAACAAAACGAAATTATAAGACTTCAAAAGGATACAGACGACGTACGATTCACCGTCGATTCGATCGAAGGGGAAGATTTGGGTCGAAGTCGCGATTATCGCAAATCGCCTTGAGAGTTTTTTTTTTTTGGATGAAAAGAAAATGCGAAATAAACCCTAAAACTTCGACCCCAACTCTAAAAAATTCTCCCCAAACTTCACCCAATCACTGCTTGCCATGTAAGCCGTTGAACCTCGACGATACGGACTCGTCAGGCTCATCCCAGAGAGACGGTATCAACGAATTTTTGGGCTTAAATAATTAAAACAAATCAAAATAATGGTCTTAGGCCCTATAGATGAACCCATCCATACCGCGTTGTGGATGGTCTAAGATTCACAGTGAAAGACGAAGCTATGAAAACCCGCTTCCTCTTTTCTTATGTGATTTTGAAGAAATCTTTTTTTCAGTTTTCTTGTTTCCATTTATTGTAATGTAGTTTTGTAAGCGTTTGTCGATTTTGATCTAATAGAAAAAGTCACAACTTTTGTGAACAGATGCGTCAAAAGCAGAAACCAAAAGGCAAAAAATCAAAACCTCATGATTTAACAATTTTGATCGAAATACAAAACAAAGACAGAATGTAGCGGCAGTAGAAAAAAAAACGAACCATGTCGTAAATGGTTACAAAGGGCCTCATGTAAAATAAAATTAAACAAAAAACACCATAAACACAAATTCACAAGAATATGGCTACTAAAACAGATTAAAGTCAAAAATATGATCAGCTAAAGAAAGTTTCAAAACGTTTTCTTTTTAATCTATTGTTGTCCTGTATGGTTTTTTTCATTGATTCAGGCAACTTCCCCGAGGAAATGTGGGAACCACAATTGGCATAAAAGATAAACCGAACGAGCCTTGACTTACACGAGTCTTAGTTCGTACTCACCAGCCATTGTTATGTATCTCACCCATGGAAGTGCTTGGTACCCACTCTTCTCGATTATCTTCAGGTACCGAACCTGTACCACACCACAACAGATATATAAGTACATGAAAGTTTAATCACTAATCAAATAGACATTTTATGCATTAGGATGACTATACAATGCAGAAAATATAGAAAGCTTCACCTGAATCCCTGAGACTGTGAAATAAGGGATCTCGAATTTGACACGGATAGGAGCTTTTCGCTCAGGTGTTGCTTCTTCTGCAGTTACACTCGGAAGATGGAACTCTGCCCTCAACATGTACTCCTATATTGCCTTTGAAAGTCAGCACTGATACTATGTGGCTGATTGTTTCAACTGAATTTAAGGAAAAAGCTTCTACCTTGTTGCCGGGGAAAGATTTAATTTTCCAGACCAATGCATCTTTTTCAGGAGCATAAGCGGCAGACCCTAGAGATGTTCTAACGGTGGGGTTAGATGCATCGGTTGGTACAGGCAACTCAATCTCAACATTTGTTGCAGTGCTGCAGATAAAAAAGTTCTCAATCAAATGTTCAAAGAATCTCAGCATCAAGAAATGTGTATTACAGTGAAAGAGGAAAGATACAGTGGCATAATGCAATAGAATATATTTACCTTCGTTCCTTGAACTGACTTCTAGCTTTAACAAGCATCTCAACACGACTTCTGGAATGACTTTCTATTTGCGCTTCCACCCATATAAGAGGCTTTACCTAAACAGAGAGTATATAAAAGAAACACATCATAAGAAATAATTTGTTGAGGACGATGAAGATATCCATCTATGCTATATTCCACATGTCAAACCTGAGTACTAAGTCTATATGTCATCAGATCAAAAGCCCCATCAGGTGGTATGAAAGATATCGTCCTATCGTTTTCAAAACGGGCCAATCGGACACACCTGCGTAGAAGAAGTGAATACATAAAACCCAATGATAGAATATTTTGAAAAAAAGAGGAAAATAGAAGGGTTAGGATCAATGGAGAACTTTCCAAGTTGCAATATAATAGAAGCTTAAAAAACGTACTGGTGAAATTTGATGTCCTCTAAATCAATGGCTTTTCCCTTTGTTGCTCTTCCCTGTGCTTCCAGCAAGACTCTATCATTCAGTCCTAACTTACATTCTGGCATTCCACTGTCATAGAATGGATCAAAAGAGTAAAAGAGTCATATATAACGCCAAGACAAAGATCAAAGCAAAAGGAACGTGAAATAAAACATGCTTTGGCTGATTAGGAAAAATATCGAAAAAAATTATCTGTTACATACGTCAAGTAAGTACGCATCTTCAGTGCTCCAACAACATCAGACCTGACAATTTGCCCATTGCTGTTGACAAGAATATTTACATTCTCAATTACATCCAAGAAAACCTGGAGAAACAAGAGCAGACTGTCATCATTTGTAAAACCCAAACACTTAAGGAAAAATGTTCCTCTCTTGAAACACAAAAGCACTCACTTCGTTCTTCTTGTACTGTATTCCCTCACTTCTCCAGGAGACAGCATTTGTCACCGCCATAGGAGGTCTCTGTGTAACTTCCATTCTATATGCATCAGTCTTGATGAATTCACTGAGGATTCTTGCTTCGGTATACTGAGGGTACCCAAAGTCCATCATCTCGTCAAGTAACTCATACTGCCAGCACCAGAAATCAGTTTCAGCCTCTAACAATGACAAATGCTTCTTTTTAAAAAACTTTGGAGGATCTCCTTGATTGGGCAAGTAACAGAAAAACATATTGTCAAACAGTACTATAAGAGCAATGGCAGACACTTAACATACCACTACAACAAAGTTATCCCTCAACGATTCCTCCTCTAACTCCTCGAAGTAATGCTTGAAGACCTATATATAGATCACCATTTCCATCATTTGGAAAAAGATGGAGCCTTAGAAAGATGGAGAATTTAAAAGCCATTACTTACATCAACTACACGGTGAAGGAAGAAGAGAAGACTGGCAGCATTGCAATTCTTTCTGGATGCTATCATCAGGTAAACGTTACTATGTTGTACAAACATGTAAGTCACCCCATTATCGTAAGCAACTGGATCATTTGACTGTGAATCACCCTGAACAGTTAAAACAACATATGTTGAGAATGCATACTCTTGATTTTAATCAGAAAGCTTCAAAAATGATGATTCAGATCAGATTCTAATCCAAACATTAAACCCAATGATCAAACTTATTCTTTTACTTCCAACAGTCTCAATTTGCGTTTGCAAACAGACATGAATCCAGCTTTTTTGAAGAGTGTTCATAACTTAGAAAGGTTTCAATTTCGATGGGTGAATCTCTCATACACGAATCCACAAGTTCGTTCACTAATTCCAGATTCTCTGCCAATTCTACAGTAACCAACCACTAGGAACAGGGACAAAAACCCAGCAATAAACACCGATCAAAGAGCAGGAAGAAGAAGAAACAAAACCTCTTTCTCGATGAGCTTAGTGAAGAACCGTTCGGCTTGAGCGGCGGAGACATCGCCGCGGTAGTCACGCCAGACGAGAACGCGACCTTTGATATCGAGCAGAAACAGCGCGGAGGCCGCTCCTGCCATGTTTCTTGCTTGCTTTCTTCTTTAGGATTATCAAATCAGATCCAAAATGCAGCGGATTAATCAACGAGATCTGATGAATTGAAGCTTCTATGGAGAAGACACATCTACAGGGAGATTGACATAGATCTTTCGCAGCTGAGGTTTCCCATTTTCGCAATTCAAACTTTCTTCTTCTCCCAAAAAATATTTCACGATCTGATGATTTCGTTATTGTTTTTTCGGTGAAATAAACGGAAGAATTTAGCAAATATTCGGGGAAAAAAATTAAAATTGGTTTTGAGCTTCATCTCGGTTTCGCCACCAAGACGGCGTCGTTTCATGCTTCAATGCTTTTTCTCTGTCCAAAATTAAATATGAATTTTCTTTTAGTTTTGTTTTGACCAAATAATTATATTCTTTTAGTTTTTTCGTCTATCATATCATAATCATCTGTCATCTACATTATTTATCAAAAAAAGTTGAAAAACAATTGGAAAAAAAACAACTCCTCCTAAACATTCATAAGAAACTTCATTTGTTTTTTCTATTTAACAACGGGTCAAAGACTAATCACCAGCAGCCGAGCAACCGAAGTACATATCAACAATTTACTAATTTAAACGTGGAAGGATAATCAGGCGGAATCGAACCCAGGACAGAAGGACACATATCCATATTATTGGAATTCTCAAACCACTAGAATCTGGTTTATAAGAAACTTCTTACTAATTAAGGAAAAAAAGAAAAAAAGAATCTTTTTACTAATTTACATTACAATTAAATATAGATCGTTGGGATAAATTCTCCTTATCATGTATTCACTAATCATAGCATAGTATATTTGGATCATAACTTCACTATATAAAGATTATCTCTCGCACTAGTCCATCAAATAAGCAATCGAAACAACAAAAATTTTGCAGAAAGATGGAATGTATCACAAAAGTTGTCAAAAAAAAAAAGATGGAATGTATCACAAACACCTCACAAGGAAAGAATAACCTAAATCATCATTACATCAACCCAATTCACATGCAGTTGTGTCGGAGTTCTTTACTGCACCTGCTTGTGGTTTCTATGGAAGACCAACCAGTGCGTAGTCTTAGCTAAGGATGTTAAAATGGATTTTAATTTCGCAGATTTAACGGTTTTACTAGGAAAAATGTCCATTTATCAGATTTTAGCTTAACAATTAGGGATTACCCCACTAAAATCAATTAATTATTAAAGAGTTATTTGTTTAAATAGATTGATATCTTATTAGACCTATTTATGTTTTTTAAGAGTTAATACAGCGTAGTTTTACTCATGTTCTAAAAAAGCAGCCTCCTAGCTAGCCACCGCCGCCTAGCTGCCTAGGCGTTCGTCTAGGCGCTAGTCGGAAGGTGACCGCCGCAATCTATCTCGAGGCGGTGAAAATGCGGTCAACCATTTTTTTGTAAAATTAACGCTTAATAAAGAAAGTCAACGCTTAATAAGAAAAGTCAATGTTTTTTAACAAAAAACCGATCCAATAATGTAGTCCATTACCAAAAAAAACACAATTGAATTCAAAATAAAAAAATATTTCGGTCCAAGGTTATATATAAATATTTGACTTGTTTTGCATATTTGTTTTGAAAATAAAGTATATAAATTATTTAAAAAATATTTTGGCCCAAAGTTGTATTAAATTTGCATATTCGTTTAAAAAAAATATATTCATAAGTTATATATAAATATTTAAAATAAATAAAAAAGGATCAAAACTAGTCAATAATTAATCGATGATTAATCATCGATTTTTCGGATTCGCTAATCGGGACCCGACCGCCCACCTATCACCTAACGAAATTTTGAATATTGATTTTACCTATGGTTTAATTTTTTTTTTTCACAAATCACAATTCGTCACCCGACAACTTATGGTTACTCCATTGTAGTTGTCGATAATCTCGACAATTTGGTATATCGTTGTTACGGTGTTACCATTGACACTAAGCCTTTACACAAGCATCCAAGGTTTGGTCTCTCTCCTTCCTCTATTCTACCATTGTTGATTTTCTGTATCCTATCATTGTTTGAATCACTATTTCTGATATGATTAATAAAGATAGAAAGATCTTGTTTGATAAAAAAATATTATCATAAAAATTAGCTACGGCATTTATGAACTTTCCATTTGTGAATTTGTATATTTTAGCTTTCCTTGAACTAGAGGGTTGACTTTGTAATGGCAGACACAAGAAAACAAAAGGGGTCAAAGGTTGATCCGGTCAACAAATAGAATTAGCATTGACCAAATGTTCAAAACTTTGAAACGAGACACTCTCCATCTCGTTACTTCATTAATTACTTGCACGGAAAATGATACTTACAAGGTTTAAATAGTAGTAATAATTTAAAAGTAATAAGTGTAAATTTAATTCACATGGCTTAGAGTCACGCGTTTCCTCGGGTTCCCTATATATCATTTATAACCTATTTGAATCTTTTCTACATTTTGCTCCATGTGTGATGTTGTTCACTCACTCTCACACACATTCTTCATTTTTCAAGGATCACACACACATTCTTCCCAGAATCGGTTTCAGTCACGAATAATTTATTTATAACTTTTTAAGTTCTAAGATCCTTAGCTTACTTTTGTGTGAGATGTCCCAATTGTATATGATTTATTTATCATGCGGATACACTAAATTTTTTGTTATCAAATGTGAAATATCCAACTGTATAACGTTAATGAAACGTTATCCATTGACATATACTATAGTCTGGTACCATGATTGGATATTTCTAAGATTTGAGTCTCTATTTTTCACAAACAAACCAAAAAATTGCATTGGAGTCTAGATTATTATGGAGAGTTCACTTAAGAAAATATATATAAAATTATGAAACCATATATAAATATATCTAGCATCTTAAATCACATAACGTCGACTAAAATATAATTTAATCATTAGGTAGAGCACTTTTTAGTTGACTTAGAGCATGTTTATCCAGGTCTTTAAACTGGATCTCTTAGTATTATTGGGTTTAAATTAAATCATAAATGGGCAATAAAGAGAGAAAAACAGAAGCGACGTCTCTTATTTCGGATCCGTAGGAGACGTCTCTTGCTTGCCATGTGTCACAGCGCTATTGGCAGATGAAACAAAGATGAGGAAAATTTTTTTTGCTCTATGTCGTGTAGTCATTTATTTCGTGTCCAAATCCTGTAGTCATTTAGTTTTGCTTTCTTTTTCCTCAATCTCGATATCAGTATATATCAAGTATATATCAACTCTTTTCTGAAAAAAGATTTGCAAAAAATTGAACTAACCAACGTTTCTCAAAAATCCGCTAGAACATTAATTCTTAACTCAAAATAGTAACCATCGTTACAATTTTTTTTTTTCTAATGTTTTAAGCTCTCTTCTTGCATATGTTCCTTTTTCCTTTTATCCTACCTCAAAATCATCTATTAAATTTGTGTTGTTTATATATAATAAAAATGTTTTACTTTTGTTATTTTCAATTACAAAACTTCTTTTTTATAATTTTTTTTTAAAAAAAAACTCATTACAGTTTCTCTAATGTACCTCAAATAAATCAACATCTCTTAATATGTATTTTAACTAAACAATATTACTAAAATAATATTTAAGAGACACACATGGATCTCTCTAATAAACATGGTCTTATGTTATCTTTTGCACAAAACCTTTTATGCACCCTAAAATCAGCTACAAACAACCTTTATACACCCTTAACTATATAGTTCCACTTCTAGATGTATGATCCAAAATAATACTCCTAACATATTTCATGAATCTTAACAAATGGAGTAAATGGATTCTTTCACGTCCGTTTCAAACACCACTCTCACATTTAATAAAGATACAATGTACACTCAATCTCACTATCTCTCCGTTCATTGAATGCTTTTTTTTTTGAAAAAACAAAATTTATCGTTATAACATTATTTTTAATCGAATGAAAATAACCGAACTGAATCGTCACTGATCGGTTATCTTTAAGTCGCTGTTGACTATAACTCCCTCTTCTTTGAAACAAATGTCACATTCCCTTCACATTCTCATTCTCTCTCTCTCTCTCTCTCTCTCTCTCTCTCTCTCTCTCTCTCTCTCTCTCTCTCTCTCTCTCTCTCTCTCTCTCTCTCTCTCTCTCTCTCTCTCTCTCTCTCTCTCTCTCTCTTTACAAACTAATCAAAACCCTAAAAACCAAACCATACTCCATCCTTTTTAAAACAATCACTTTCCCTGATTTTTCTCCAAATAAACATAACCAATCACAGCTCCTCTGTTTCTCTACCTCTAACCTCTTACGACAGTTCTCCTGCTAACTTATGGGATTTTCCGACAAGACTCACAACCAGTTCGACGGCGAACACCGAGAAACATCCGAAGGAAAGAAATGGATCATCTCAGGCTCCTTACGTGCGCCGATAGTGCCGATAAGCATCTCTTCCTCTGCCGTAGCTGACACGGAAGATGAAGTTAATCAAGATCAGTATCCGACGACTCCAACGGCGTCTTCTGTTAGAATTCCGACGGTGCAGGTTTGTCCTCCGCCACCGAAGAAACGGAAACAGTCCTTGAAGTTTAGCTACGTCAGTGCTAGAGAGTTCTTCTCTCCACCGGATCTCGAGACCGTCTTCTTACTGAGAGCTACTCAACTCTGATTTTAAATTCTAGCTACTATCTCTCTCTCTCTAACCTTTTTGGTAAAAGAAAATTTACTCTTAAGCGCTTTCTTCCTTGTTGTCATTTTACACAAAATAAATTTTTAGGTGTTAGGATACTAAATTACTAATTAAGGATAGTAAGCTTCGTATTCATGTACAATTTTTTTTTTCAATAAAAAATAGATAAATGTTATATTTTTTAGTATTTGTTGAATTTCCTGATATGTGAAAAAGGTTCCCCTTCTCCAGTTACCTTTTTGTAGTTACATTTTGAGAAACTCTGTGGAATGTTACTTATAAAATAATTGGGCATTTGATATTGTTCAACATGTTGTTCACGTTCGTCCAATATCTATATATATATATAGTTCGCAGATAAAGAGAGTACAACTTCCCATCTGTCTTTTTGTTTGTTACTTTTTTTTTCTTTGCTTTAACCATGATAAAAAAAAAATAGGAAAATGTTCAAAAAAACCATGATATTAAAAATAGGAAAATGTTCAAAAAAAAAAAACATGATACTATTAAAATAATCTCCACCATCAAAGTTATAAGTATTTTCGGTTGAGGGTGAAATTAAGAATTTATGTTCCAAAATCATTTCGAAAAGGTCGGAAAGTTTTAAGATACAAGAATTTTTCCAATTCTTGGGGCTACAAGAACCTTTTATCAGAATATTTTTTCTTCCCAATCAGGAAATCTTGATAGTAGAAAACTCAACCGTAAAGAGTTATTGTGACATCCCGACCCACCCTCCCTTTAGGAACCAGGCGCGGACCAGCGATATCAATCTTAACTCTCCCTAACCGCTCCTTCCAGTGAGTCCAACGCCCTCTCTAGGCTCGTGGGCCCAACATCTTCTCTATAGGCCTGTTGGCCCAACGTCCTCTCTAGGCCCGTTGGCCCACCACTGTTCAACGGTCGAGAGTCGTTAGTCTGGAAGGCTCGTAAGAGCTGTCTACTGTCCCTGCAATCACCATATGATCTTTCCCCGTACTTTGTCCTCACTCGTACGGTACCGTAGAGAACTTTCCGGTAGGTCACCCATCCTGAGATTACTCCAACATCAGCACGCTTAACTCTGGAGTTTTCTCAGCACACTTGACCGGAAAAGATAAGTGCAATTTGTTGACATAGGTAGCCAAATCAATTCTTATAAGCCTTTCCGACTACCCAAAAATCGGGATATTATAGTTTTATAACACATGGCTAATCATCATAAATATATCTATATCGTAGAATAAAACTTGCAACCTTGCGAATCCACCGAGATTGAGATAGTGAAATTGTCATTTGAATTCTTAATATACTAAGGTCATTTTAGTTCTAATTAAATATATTAAAAACTAGATGATGTTCGCGCGGAATTATTGTTTGTTTTCTTACTTTATACTATTTGTTTTGTTGTTTTGTTTGTTCATAAAATAATCAGATATTTGAATAAAATAGAGCATACATGTTTTATCTATTTAAGCAACTATTTATTTAGAAAATTACATTTTGAAATACTTATGTGTCTTGTATTTTTTTTATTCAATATCTTTTTATATAATATGTTATGATATTGTATTCCCCAATTACATAATAAGATTTTTTTAAAAATAATTAAACATAGCAGCCTAAAATATTTTTTTTCGACGATAGCAGCCTAATGTATTAGGGCCTGAAAAGCAAAATAAAAACACAAATTAATTGAGTATGTGAATTTTTTCTTCGTCTGGTTTAAATAAAATTGCGATCTGGTTTTATAAAACCATCGAAAAATATTTCCCATTACCAACTCGCTTCTAACATCAAACCATGCAGTTCTCCAACGATTTAATATATCATTTTTTTGATTTATTATTTTCTTGAGATTATGAGCTATCTATCTATCTATACTATTATTTGCGAAGTCAAAAATCTTAGGTGTCGTCTCCAGAACGATTTGCTTATGTGTCATTATTATTAATCTATACTATTATTTGCGAAGTCAAAAATCTTAGGTGTCGTCTCCAGAGCGATTTGCTTATGTGTCATTATTAAAAAAAATTATATGGTGTTTTAATTAATTATGATAGGTTGATCATTAATTATACTTGTAAATATATGTGACATGACCAAAAATCTGATGTGTCATCTCCACAGCGATTTACTTATGTGCCATTATTAAAAAAAAAGGTAGCGTTTTAATTAATTCTGATAGGTTGATCATTAATCCTACATGTATATATCCGTGATATGGCTAAAAATCTGATGTATCGTCTCCACAGCAATTGTCCTACATGTCATTATCAAAAAAATTATGTGGCGTTTTAATTAATTTTGATAGGTTGATCATTAATTTTACGTGTAAATATATGTGGCATGGCTAAAAATCTGATGTGTCGTCTCCACAGTGATTATCCTAGGTGTCATTATTAAAAAAAGGTATGTGGCGTTTTAATTAGTTTTCATCGATAGATCATTAATTATACATGTAAATACCCGTGACATAGTTTTTTTCTTCGATTATGGGCCAATGATTTTGTTTACGAGCTACTGATCTCAAAGTTAGCCATAGCCACTGATTTTGGCTATGGACCACCGATATCAACGTTGGTACTAACCTAAACCCTAACGTATCCATCCTATATATACTCATCTCGGTCTTCATGTTTTTTTACATACAACGTCCGTCTTCTAAGGTCTAGCATCTTTTTTAAAAAATTATCCACGTCTTTTTAAAAAATCAATATATACTATTATTTATGCATTTCCGTAATGACAACCTACATTGTTTTTATTGTTCATAATTTTCTGCTTTTAGACGTTCTTCTTATGTAAATCTATTGCTTAATAGTTCTTTCCTTCAAAAAATTTATGAATTTTCTGTAGAGATTAGCAATTGTCCCCTTTGTGATCCTCAGATTTTGCCATATCATCTGCCTCCATCTCAAATTGCTTTTACAGAAGAAGAACATTTTTCTGCCGATGTTTACAATGATAAATTTACAGGCTGACTGAAGTTTAATTTACTATCCTGAAGCCATATCATATATGTACTCTACATTTTTGACCCATTGGATTTGAGATCATAAAAACGTCAATGGCATACCAGTCTTTGCGGTAACAGTGTAGACCGAGTATAATAGCCAACTATAACTCTAACATTGGTGAAACCTACTTCTTGAGGGTTTCATTGCATGTCATTCGCGATCCATGTTTTAATATAAATATAAGAACAATTAATGGTGCTGTCCAGCCTACTTTCAAAGTCATGTTATGCTTTATGTTTAATTCACGATGATATCGAGTATGTCAAAAATTTCTATGAGGCATGTCAATGGGTTTCCGCTCCTCTCTTCAAATGATGTACATTGCTTTGTTACATGCAGGTTCTATGATGAATCCATTTCGTGTTTGGAGATCCATTCAATGTTTTTAGTATAAGGTTTATCAATTCTTTGCAATGTCTTTGATTTTTTTTCTTAATTATCTTATTTTAACAATTTTTTTTGAGATTTTTCACTGTGTTTAGATTTTAATTATTTTTCCCTAATGTACTTTCTAAATGTAATAATCATCAATAAAAATAAATGATTAAACAAAATTTTAATTAGTATTTGCTAATTAATAATGTATATATTGTTATTATTTTTACCCATTCATAACTGTTATACAAGTTGTATTAATAGCTTTCTTAATAAATCATATATATTGCTCCTACTTTTATCCACTTACAATTCTTAAAAGTTAGAAGTAGAAGTATAAAGAATAAGACATAGTTGATGATATAAGAACTCAAAAAAGATGAAATTGAATAAAACATGGAGAAGAATAAGAAGCAGATGAGAACAAAAGATAGTGAAGAAGAATACGAATAAGAAAAAAGATGTTGGAGTTGAAGAAGAAAATCAGAAGAAAAAATTGAAAGATGAAAAAAACAAAGTAAAAGAAGAGGAAATATGAAAATAAAGTAGGTGAAAATGAGAAAAAGATGAACAAAAACAAGAAGAAGAAGAGTTTGATGAAGACCAAAGAGGAATAAGAAGTAGAGAATAAAAAGACTAATAAAAATTAAAAAAGAAGAAGAACTGAGAGAATACAAATATGATGAAGAAGAAGTCAAATTAAATGAAGAAGATGAAAGAAAAAGATGAGGAGTAAGAAAATCGCAAGATATATAAGAGGAAAAAGAGAAAAACAGTACAAGTCAAAAACGATAAAGAAGAAAAAGGAAAATATGAGGAAAAAGAAGATGAAGAAAAAAGAAGTACAAGTCAAAGATGATGAAGAAGAAGAAGGAAATTATGGGAAAAAATAAGATGAAGAATTTGGGGCAGAAAAAGAAGACAAAAGCCTTAAAATTGGAGCCTGAAGAAGAATACAAATAAAAACAAAAAAAATAAGAAAAATACGAAGAATAACTAAACCAAAAGATAAGGAAGAAGAGTAGAACGAAACAAAAGATGAAGAAGAAGAAGATAAATCAGAAGAAAGAAATGAAATAGAAGTTGTAGATGATGAAGAGGAAAGAAAAGATAAGGAATAAGAAAATTGACGTTGATGATAAAGAAGAAAGAAAAGATGAAGAAGAAATTCGAAAAAAATATATATATATTATAATACAAAAATATTGAAGATTAAGAAGGGGAAGTGGATGATGATTGTTTTATAAATATAAAATACTAGGAAACACCAACAAAATTTTTTAGCTAAGTCCTAATAACTAGATCCTAAAGCAAGCAATCAATCAATAAAATATAATAAATAAAAAAATAAGTAGTTCTACTCCTGAAAACAATTTTTCCTAATCACTATCAGCATCTTCAGGAAGATCATCTTCAGAGGGGTCTTCATCTTCGTCCATTTCGCTGTCAGAGGAGATGTAGACAGGACCTCCAGAAGCTTCCTGTCTGCCTAAATGGCAAACCCTCTCCAAGCACCAAGTGGATTCACCGGAGGAGCACCTGGTGCCGCTGAAGTCTTCGGGCATTGGCAGCATCGCCCATGCTCCACCCTTTGCTGAGCAGCTGGCTTGGTCTCAGAAGGAGGCGCAGGAACAGAACTATGCTGCTGCAGAGGAGAAGCTGAAGGAGCTCGCCTAGCCTGGCTCGGTCTACTTGTAGATGCCTCATGCACCTCATTACATCTCCAAGGAGTGTACTGAAGGGTCACTCGGGTAGCAGCAATTGTCCTCTTCCTGGCTGTCTCCTTGGTCCTAAACCCGAATCTAGAAGAGGAAGGAAAGAGGATAAAGGAAAAAGAGAATCTATTAGATCAGCATTTATAAGTTGTTGGTTGTTCTAGGTTTGAAAACATTTAAAAAGATTTTAATAAAAAATGTTTTCGCAAACGGTTTTCTCTTTGAAAACAAAAACGGGCGTGACCACTTTAGAACGGAGCTAAAGTGATCTAATCCTGGGCTCTTATACCAATTGTAGCATCCCTATCCCGGGCTTCTAAGAGGCGGGGAATCGGGAATGTTAGATCGGCCATCGAACCGGGTCCGGTAGGATGTCCGATTTTGTGAGCACACAGGATCGCCAGGAAAACGCCCAGGTAACAATCAACAACATAGACTTAGACTGATCCATCTAACCTGCAAAACTAGATAGAGAGAGGGGTGAGTAATTTGGGAGAATTACTCAGTGAGAACCAAACCAGGCTCCCGCCTTATTCATTTATTTCCACCAACATATTAAGAATAAATCCAATGAAACCAAACAAGCAATCTACAAGTGCACAAACAACTAACAAACATGTGATGTCTCCGTCCCGCCTCTCAATAGGCCAAATCACCTTGTCACTCGGACACAGGTCGATATCTCACCCTGTCACATAGACAGAGACCCTGTCACACAGACAGTCCAATCCCGACATGCCACATGGACAGCCCCGTGGAACATCACTCCACCGGATGAATGGAATTGTCACGGTCACACAGACGGCACATAACCCAACAAACAAGCCTGCATTCAACACATCACTACCAGAAGCAGACTATGACATTTAGGATTTCTACCAATCACTAACCAATCAACAGGGTTATCAATCAATCATGCTGGTTCTTCCTCTAATGAGATCCTAGATCTTATTAGTTATATATATATACATGGTCTGCCTAGATGCACAAGGAGACAGACCTGTCCCACCAGATCTAAACTCAACACACTAGAAGAAAATAAAGGGATAAGAAGAAAGACCTAGATCTAATCCCCACCTTAGCTAGAACTGCAGATCTGGACACCCGACACGAAAACGATGATATCTCCTGGCATAGATATCTTATCTGGATGAAATCGGTCTTCTTGGAAAGCCGACACTCGGGGCTACAGATTGATAGGTAGATCGTCCCGTAGATCCTCGCGGTTCGCCGGAAAAACGTCATGGAAGGAGGCGGCCAGGGAAGAAGAAGATGATAAGAGAGAAAGAAGAACAAGAGAGAGGCAGCCGAAAGAGAGAGAGAGGGAGAGAGCCACAGCCAGGGAGAAAAAGAGAGGATGGCGTGGCTGAGAGAAGGAGAAGGAGAGAAAAGGTGGCTAGGTTTGAGTTTCTTAGGGTTAGAATGATTAATTAGAGTTTTAAGAAATAAGAAAACTATTTATACTTAGGTTAATTAGATGGACTGGGCTGAGCTTGATGGGCTTTTAAGAAGAGATTAGGAAGAAAGGTTTATCAAAAAAATAATTAAAAGAAATGGTTTAATCTAATTAAACCAAAATTAGAAATTGGTAACATCCGATCTTTGGTTAACCGAAGGTCGGGATGTTACACTAACTGTGGCAGTGGTCAAAAGCTTTGCTAATCCACCGAATTTAAGTAATGAAAAGTCATTTGGTTCTAATTATTATACAGGGTAAGCAATGTTTCCCTGTATTAGAATGTGCTTAATCATCCAGAAGTAACTCTGTTTCCTCATAATGCATACGTAACAACCTAGATCTCACATTCATTGCAATTGTAAAAATTACTAGGGATGCATGTGAATTCAGTGAAAACATTCCTTGTAAAAACAAATGTGAAATAGGAAACAAAATCATAGTTTCCAAAGTAATGCAATTGCCTATACACAAATCCCTAGCAACGAGTAAAATTGTGATTTTTTGGGTACATTGACACAAAAAGATAGTCCAAAAAGAGAAAATCCTCCTTTTTTTTCTATAAGGGAGATTTGTTTTGCTACGTTTATACTTTACAACTGCAAACAATACAAACAATGATACAAAGCCAAAGAACTTTGTTTCTACCACTTAGACGCTAGCCCGGCCTTTAACAGTGATACGTACAAGAGTTGGTTCCATGTGTCCGGTACACCAGGCAAGCACCAATGGCTACAATCTTGGTGACTCACGGCCTCTCTTTTCTCCTTATCCGTCCTGTACACCATCCTGTAAATAGCCGGGTGACCATCTTTTCTGAAATCCGTTAACCGGCTAATGTTCATGTATATCACCGGAGTTTTCATTGTATCACGCAGAATGTACTCGAGAGCTCTCATCTTCGAAGGATACTTTTTCAAGTAACTCGTGTTGAAGAACGGTTCTGTTTCTTTATGGCATTGTCCTCCTGAGTTCCATGGCCCTCCTCTGTATAAGAAACACCGGTTCAACAATAAAGTCAAGAACACGTTTTTGCAGTAAATAAAAAGGTTTGGGAATTTACCTGAAATGTGTAACGGAATAGCCTCTAAATACAACATGGGTTTGATTGCGGTTGATGTTCTTATCGACCCATTTAGCCCAAGTGGCGAGAGCTCGTTTATAAGCTTCAAGAACCTTGAGCCTCGGGTACACAACGTTACCTTCTTGGTAATAGTTTTCTCTGCAAAAAGAAAAAACATCACAATCATTGTTAAACTTAAAAACACAACGTGGACTTCTTGTTCTGGTTTCTCTGTTTTAGAATCATACCCTAGCTTTGTTTTGTCATGAGTCCACCAATGACCAGTGTTGAAAATCAGTATATCAGCATCTTTATACATGGACGTCGTCTTGTCCATCAAATCCAACCTTAACGTCTCCAATCTCGTCCCGTTCACTCCTTTGAAACTTGATTCCCTTACGAAAAAGGGAGAGCCAACAAAATCCACCGTGCAATTATAGTCCTGCAAGAACAGGGGAAAAAGATTGATAAACATCAAACAAAGAGACAATGTGGAATGGTATTGAAGCATTCCATAGAAAAACGATATCTAACCTCGAATCTAAAAGCGTAAAAGCCTCTCTTCTTGAACTCTCTTCTCCCTGAGATCTCATACACTCGTTTCTTGTCCTTGAGGCTATGTCGAAGAACGCAAACCAGAGATTCCCACATGTTCCGGTTTATCGAATCCCCAACGAAAACCAGCTTCTTCCCTCTTAGCTTCTCCAGAAAATCAGTCCCGTTCAACCTTTAGATTCCAACACAGAGATCACAATGCACTTACTCATCAGACAAAAACCAACAATCTAATTTAAAAACTCAATATTCCACCTATTCAAGAACCCAACTTCAACAAGAAAATCAAAAATCAAGCTAAAACCCTAAAAGAATCTATCTAAAATGGGAAATATTATTCTTTTCTTTTGTGATTTTTACCTGGGAATGTCACAACCATTTGGCTGCCATTTCCATTTAACATAAGCATCATCAGGTCTTCCATTGGCGTGACAGTTGAAATCTCTGTCTATGTACGGACACGAACCAGGTGGGTAATAAGGCATTGTCTCATCATCAGCTCTCACCCAGTTTCCATCGTAGATATCACAATCCTCGTAAGAACCTCTGCTTCGATCTGTTTCCACAGAGCCATTATCCTCTTCGCTCGAGTTTGATGGCACAAACCCACCTCCCGAATCGGACACCAAGCTCGAGCTATTGCCCACACTTATCGTAGCATTTGATTCGAGGGTGTTTTCGTCATTTGCGGTAGAGACTTTAGTCCCATCTTCATCGACTAAGCTCGAGTTCTTCACTGTTTTTTCAGATCTTTGTTCGGAATCAAAGCTTGCAACTTCACCTTCTCCAGACAAACTTGTGTTCTTCGAACTAGTATCTCCAGATCTTTGTTCGGCATCAAAGTTTGGAACTTTGACATCTGGGACATTGTCGGTGAGATTTACTACTTCAGGCTTCTCGTCGACTTGATTTACAGAAGAAGGGATGTTCAGATTGGAGTTTTTGAGACCTTGAAGCAGAGGAGAGACAAAGGGGACATTGAAGGAGGAGTTAGAGAGAGAGAGAAGTGTGAGGAGAACGAGAGAAGCAGCGATTCCTAGACCGAATCTGGTCAAGATGTTTCTTCTTCTCGAAGACAGAATCTGGTCTGGAAACGGAAGTTTCTTCGACGAATCCATTGAAATGCAGTTACAGCGAACAAAACATGGAAACTTGCAGAAGAAACCGAAAAATTCAGAAATTTGGTAAATTATCTGGTTTTGCAGAAAGTGACCCTTTTCGTAAAAGAGAGGGAGACGATTAGATTTTTGATTTAAGATGAAACTTGAGTTTGGGGGAAAAGCGGTTTTTCTCGAAGATAACGATTTTGATATTTCACCATTGATGTTTACCAAAAAGTTATATGCAGGCCCCTTTGTTAATGAATGTTTATCGTTTTTACTTCTGTTTAAGGTATGTCAATAATTTGGAAATTATGTGGGTTTTTAAAACTTGGGAAAGTCAAATTATTACGAGTATTTTGTTTCCTTAATGACCTTCATTAATGAAGAAAATTGGGAAGGTGATGGATCGTGGTAATGACCAAAAAATCCGTCAGAGTGCCGTCGATTGCATCTAAGCCACGTGTCAGAAGAAGGACTCACGGGAGTTTGGACCGACAGCATTCTCGTTAATCGCGACTGCTTATTGCCGCGTGATCTGACGGTTATTATGTGGTCTAAGTTGCAGGTGCACGCTTTTGTCGTCACACGGGATTAGTGACCACGTTCACGACTCCACTTGGCCCATATTCGCTGATGCAGTGTAGAGACCACTTTCCTGTTCGGTGACTTTGTCGTGTGGATACAAAATACTAAGACTTTTGATTAGTAACAATTTGGCGAATAATCGAATATATAACACTTTTATGATTGATGACATTTTTGTATTTTCGTTATAAAAAAAATGCAGACTACATTTTTGTGTTTTATTTTTTATTTTGCAAATTTTTTATTAATTGACAAAATATTTTGTAAAATCACGTTTAAAAATGAAATTCTGCAATTTTATTAGTGAAGCAAAGTTGTTATTACAAATTACGCTTCAACCGAGTACAATCCGGTTAAATTCAGTTTGGAATCTACAAAAACTTTCCAAAACCAGCAATATTTTGGCCGCTCAGAGGATTTTTTTTCCAATATTCACTGGCCACAATTCCCATACAAGTAACGTGGGTAGTCAACATTTTCTTTTGCATTTAATACTTTTTTACATTTGAAAATTACAGTTTACTCCACATCTATATAAACATTATAAGAAACAAAAACAAAGCCAAGAAAGGAAAGAAAGAAGATGAAAAAAAAAAGTGAAGTCATCACAAAACTCATTATCGAGGACCAGAGAGCTCAATAGCTTCGACGACAAGAGAAGATTCTTGGATATAATCGGAATAATACCTCACACGCGGCGAAGAACTCACCATCCCCGACGGCAACGGCGGTGGCAGCGACTCCGCCGCACCGTTCTGCGACGCTTCCCATCTCTCAGCCAAACCGTCACCTTCAAGCATCTTCATAACTTCGGACATTTTAGGTCGAAAAGATGGATTGAATTGAGTACAGAGAAGTGCAACTTGAACGATTTCTTCGAGCTCCACTCTATCGAACTTATCATTCAAATCTTTGTCTATTAGTTGCTTTAGCTTCCCTTCTTGATGCAGCTTCTTCACCTGCCATTTTTCACAAATCTCATTAACCAAACCGGACAAAACTAATTTGAATCTTAAGATGATGCCAATGAGCTGGAACCAAAACGGCAAAACCTGTCTAAAACAGACCGAATACAGACCGAATCTACTAGACAAAGTACAAAAACAGAACCAAAACCGAAATTAAACCCGACATCAATCCAAATACCTTGGTTTAATATTCCTTCAGTCTATGACTCACAACCCAAACTAAACCGAAATCAAATCAAATATAAATCAAACCAAACTGTAAAACTGCATTCAGTTATAAGTACTTGGTAAAGATTATGCTAATGAACTAGAACTAATAGCTATCTATAGCTGAACCGAAATAAGAAACCGAAATTTAACCAAAACCGAGATTAAATCTGAACCGATTCCGAATCCGAGTCATGGTAAGTTTCTATTTTATTTTGGTTTTAACTCTCCCCTCAAGTCTCAAGCAACACTGAATAGAACCAGACCAGAATTGCGACTAATACCTCCAAGATTCTTGGAAGTGAAGCAAGAAACAGAGTAAAGAGACTTACCCAGTCAAGCATTACGCCTTTCTGGTGTGAGGACCGGCCAAAATCAAGAGCTTTCTGACCAGTAATGAGCTCAAGGAGAAGTATACCAAACCCAAAGACATCAGTCTTCTCTGAGGACTGACCAGTTGATAAGTACTCAGGTGCAATGTGGCCTACAGTTCCACGAACCGCGGTTGTGACATGTGAATCTCTATGGTCTAGAAGCTTGGCTAACCCAAAATCCCCAACAACTGCCTCAAAATCCTCATCTAACAAAATGTTAGCCGCTTTCACATCTCTGTGAATGATCTTGGGATCACATTGCTCATGGAGATACACTAATCCCCTCGCTGTACCAACCGCTATTTTCTTCCTTCTTGACCAGTCTAATGCTGGCTCTCCTCGGATATAATCTAACAAACATTGAAGAAAGATTAAACCATAGAAAAATATTGTGAAAGAGCTAGAAAAATACAAGAATTTGGTTTGGAAACTGCATTTACCTTTTAAGCGTGAAGCAACGCTCCCATTTGGCATGTAAGGGTAGACTAGGATTCTCTCGTTGTTGCTACTACAGAAACCTCGAAGCCTGAGGAGATTGCGATGTAGAGCCAAACTTATAGTCTCTACTTCTGTCTGAAACTGGACTTCTCCTCCCGCAATGTTACAGTCTTTGAGACGTTTCACAGCCACCAAGGATCCGTCGCTTAAGTGCCCTTTGTACACAATCCCGTATCCACCTCTTCCGAGAATGTTCTTTGGGTTGAAATGATTGGTCGCGGATCTAAGCTCTTTGAATGTATACCTCTTCAAGTGTCCTAAACTCACCTCTGGATCATATTGTTCTGCAACATGGAGCTGTTAGTTTTTTTCCGGGGGAGGCACAACATTATACAAAGCCAAGAAAATTTCAAGATACTAACCATTAACGTCGAAAAAGATTTGCTTATTACGCCGATATCTCCACCAAAGAAAGATTCCACTTGTAAAGATAACAAAAAATGCTGCACTGAAGCTTGCTGCGAATGCAAGAGCTACGTGATGGCCATTGGTATGAGTCCCTGGTTCATCTAAAACAAAAAGTAACACAAAGAAGTAAGCGATAAAGTCCTTTGATCAGAAGTAGAATAGGGAAATAATGAGAAACAGAAGGCTATATATACCTGATGGAACATCTTGTGGAAGTGTGAGAGGCTCAGGGAAGACAGCAGAACAGTTAGCAACGGATTTTGGGCCGCAGAGTAACGCGTTTCCGATTACCCTTGTGTCCAAGAAACAAAACAAATACACAATGGTGAATCTTAGTTTCACTTCAATGGAAATTTAAGTTCTTGGATAAGTCTAGTTAAGCTTACTTGAAAGTTCTAGCAGACACTTTTGGCAGTGTACCACTAAGATTGTTATATGAAATGTCGCTGCACATTAAGAATCAATAACAAATAAGTTGGCAAAATATTCTCCAACTGGAACAATAGAAAGCAAACGTTAGAGATGTACACTAGAGTGAGTCCTTCGATCTTGGATAGAGACTCAGGGAGAGTTCCTAAAAGACTGTTGTTGTTTAACCGCCTGAAAACCCAAATGAACAAGAACGGAACATAAAAACTGAGACTTGACTTGGAATTTCATAAACATGCAACAAAAGAATCAGTGTGAATCATTAAACGAACACTCACAAGTAATTCAAGTTCTTGAGTTCTCCAAGTGAGGCCGGTATCTCCCCAGTGAATGAATTGTTCGAAAGATCAAGTGTCTGAAGCTTCTCTAACCTCCCGATCGTATCAGGAATTGGACCAGAGATTGCATTGTTTTGCAACAACCTAAACCATAAACCTTAAGCTTAATAAGCACAAATCGAAAAAAACTACAGAACAAGAATTCAAACATAGCAAAGACTATAACAACTTACACAGATTGTAGATAAGTGAGGTTTCCGATTCTAGGAGACAATGTACCAGACAGGCTTTGGCTAGGAAGTCCCCTGTTTTCATTATGCAGACAAAGACAAGTCTCAGAGATCTATTTGATTGCTTTGTCTTGTGTAACAGAGAGAGAAGAAGAAGACGAAGACTCACAGTGCAGAGACATAACCATCAGTGCAAGTGACCATTCTCCAGCTACAAGGATCAACTGAATTCACATCCCAATTCTCAAGAACATTGTACGGATCATTCAACTCGTTCTTTATAGCCACCAAAGCCGTCACTGCTCATTTCAGACAAACATAAAAGAAGAGAATTCAGATTGAGTGAACAATTTCTTTTTTTTTTTTTGAATTGAATAAGCAAAACTCCTGAAATATATCGTCCAAGAAAAACCCAGTAACCTTAAAGTATCTGCCAGGAAAATTCCACAGAGAAAGAAGCAAAACTTGAGCTGGGATTGGATAGTTTAGATATGGTTCTGGTGAGCATTTAAAGCTCATATTTATTATCCAATAAATACAAAAGGAACCCAATCCACACAAAACATTCACCAAAAAATTTCGCAGCCACGAAGAAACATAGACAAAAACAAAGATGGTAATGTAATTGCTCAGAGAAATTTTTAATCTGAAATCCTGTGTTTGGGCAAAGGAAAAAAGAAATGCATCTTTTTGTTTTTCAGAAATTGAGATGGCTCCAAGAAGAAGAAGAAGACTGACCTTCATAGTTTACACCAGTAGGAGAAAGTGTAGCAGAAGAGACATCAAGGAACCATACCAAAACCAGAAACCCTAATCTCCAGAGCACCAATCTTACACAGTCCATGGCAATATTCCCTCTTAAAGCAATCAACTTTTGTAAGTGAAGAAAAGTTTTCAGATATCCCACTAACTCATTTTTCTCTCTCTCCCGAATGTGAAAGCCTTTGCCTTTGTTTCTCTCCCCTTTCTATTTTCTTCTTCCCCTGTCTTTTTCAGACACAGAAATTAACTTGAGCAATCTTTTTTCCAGCAATGGACTTCTTCTGCTTCCTAATTCAAATCGAATGGAGTAAAAGGAGAAGACCCCAAATAGAAAAATGACGACTTGAAAGATACCCAGCTTAGAAAGAGAATTTTTGGATGAAGCATTAAGAGAATAAGTGCAGAAGCAGTGACAAACAAGAAGGACGAGAGCGAGAGCGAGAGCGAGAGAGAGAGGGAGAGAGAGAGAGAGAGGAAAAGAACTATAAAGTATGAAGAGAATTTTCCCGAGAAACAAAGCAAACAAAACCACCAAAATGCTCTGAAAGTCTGAGAAAAAGAATGCACACAAAAGCTATTGAGTGATACTGCCTCTTGGTTTTAATTATTTAATCCTTTTTTTACTTGGGTAATTATTGAGTAGTTAATCTGTACAGCATTCTAATTTTCAAGTGGTTTCCCTCTAATTCCACACCACTATTACCAAATCACCTCAATCTCAATCTCTTTTGCCTTCCCTTTCAAACCACTGGAAAATAAAAAAGGAATTAAAAAATCATCAAAGATGGGACCAAACAAGCAAAATCCAAAATGAAAATGCCAAAAAATCCACAAGCACACACAGAAAGATACTGACAGAATAACAAGAAAAGAAGAGACGCTCTGTTTTTCTCCCCTTTTCAAGTTTTGATTATTTAGACACTTTTTGAAAATTAGATTAGGAGGAGGAAAAAAATAGTGTAATTTATGTTACATGATTTCAGTTTGAATTCTTTTCTTTTTTGCTTTCGGACAGATATTTCGAAGAAGCACTTTAATATACAAAAATGTGATTGGACTGAAAGGATGGGTCAGAGAAAAAGATAAATGGAAAAATCATAAGAACAAATGACATCTCTTATTTTAATTTCTTTAATTTTTTTTTTTGCTTTTTAGAAAAGTTACATAGCAGAAAAGAAGTCCTTTTTGTTGGGCAGATCACGTTCATGGCCTGTCTCATATCTTGTTGGCTTTTTCGAGCTTCAATTATTTTATCCCTTTTCCAGTTTTTGTCACACAAAGAATATAATATTATATTATATATATAGTTGGTTAAAAGATAATCTCCTTTACTTCACATTATTAGCATCATATACTAATTTAGTTTATACAAACTGTTCTCTGTTAATCACGGACCAGGATAAACTTTTGATCAAAATCGAGAAATGGTATTGGGTGAGATTTTATATCTTATATCAATTAATTTGACTGGTAGAAGAGTCTTAGATATAAGCATTGATTGGTAAAACTTTTAGAAGATCATTATGCTTTAAATTATTCAATCAATTTTTGTTAATAGAGCACCTAGGAGAGCATTTAAATGTAAATGTTCTCCTAAATGTTAATTCCTCTATGTTTTCATATAGAATTTTTTCAAAGCATTATGTTTTTAAATATTTTGATAATTTAAAATAATTTTATATAATTTATTTCTTTGATTAAAATAACATCAAAAATTATATATATATTAGAATATAAATTTTACATGTTAACACTAATATTTATTATTATTTTTATTTTAAAAATACTAATATAATTAATTAATAATTTAATAAATATGAATAAATATATTAAAAAATAAAAAATATATATATATATTATAAATATAATATAACATATATAAATAAATATTTTAAATATTTTTTTACAAAATATATATATAATTACTCACATCTCTGTCAATTACTCACATCTCTGTCAATCACTTATATAAAAAGCATACAGTTTCAATATCACATTACTTATATTATTGTTTAAGCATAATGTTTTAATATTATCTATATCAATCAAATTCATAATCTAAAGTTTAAAGGTGACAGAATAGAGTGATGCTTAGAACAGAACTAATATTACATATTATGGTTCCGACCTAGAAAAATTATGGGTTTTGGCTCAAAACCTTATAATAATTCAAAAAAAGAGATTTTGTATCCTATATATAGGTGAGATTTTTTTTTTTTTTTGGTGAATATATGGGTGAGATTTTATATCTTATGAATGGTTGGGATTATTTCTCAGATGAAACAGTTTGTTTACTTACATATAGCCTGCAAACACAGAAAAAAATCATTTTTGGGAGAAAAAATTAATACTATGCTTCCCTTTTAAGTGAAATCATAGTCCTAAATTGTGTCTCGTGGATCATGATCCACAATAACAAATTTAGAATGGTATTTAAGAGTATTAGAAAATTTATCACTTCTCTTTGACACAAGTCCGAATGAATGTGTATTTGTTTAATCTTTCCTATCATCTAGTTCAGTATTGTTCTAGCTCTTCTTATCTTATAAATTATTTACCTTTCTCTTTCCTAAAAGATTTGATCCTCTCCTCTTTTCTCTCTAGGAATTTGGGAAGTATTAATGTATTTAAAGCTTGATAAAGTTTTGGATCGATTCAATTGACCCGTCCTGTTTAGATAATTTTTCGTCCTTTTCGAATATGTCAGATTGGAAACCATTGAAATCTAAGGTTTTTTTTGACGCGGTGATATAGAAAGTGGTAAAACACTCGAGTAGAATGAGTTGGATTGATTTATGACGATGGCTAACAAATTCATTTCTTGGTGGATTCGAGATTCCGTTAATTTGTCTTGTTGTTATCGTGACGCTGCTTGTCTATGTGTTGGCTTGCTCATTAGAGGAACAATCACCTCCCATTATTATATATAAAAACTATAAAAAAATATGAACATTCGTGCACAAACCAAACATTACCATCAGCTTATCACATAATACCGAAAATAGAACACAAGTTTGGCAAAAAAAAATGAAAGGAAAAAAATATGTAATTGCTAAGTCAGCCAATTGGTAAATTTGCATAGCCGCACAAACACATTACCCGTATGTGCTTGTAATCAATCAAACACGATTGTAACTAGAAGAAAAAAATTGAAAGAGAAAGAAGTTGCATTACTAAATCAGCCAATTGGTAAAAGTTAGCATACATACAACTGGATCATGTCCTCTAAAACATTTATTTATTACCAGTTTTTACCTCGTTAAATTTTACCAGTTAAGTAATATTGCTTAAAAAATGCCCTTTCAATGTTTATTAAGAATATTCCAGAAGATAGGGTAGGTGGGGTTAGTAACTAATCACACTCCCTCCTAATTCCTAACTAATCTACCTTTTGTATATTAAACTGTCTCTCTTATAATTGTTGTAATATAGTAGATTTCCAAGATTACGAAAACGGGTAATGTATTCAAATGGATATATGGATTTTTGATATGCTCTAAGGTTTTTTTGGGTAATACATTATGTTACTTTCATGTTTGAAATTGCTTTTAGTATAACATAAAACTTTAAAATCTGAAGTTTTAAGATTTCTTTAAAAAAACGTTTTTAGGAGTGTCTCGATCTATTCTTTCACCTAACACACTGGTGTAGCTGAACGATTCAAGTAGGCTCTTAGCTGAAACATATATTGATTATGTATTTCACATATTAAGATTTAAGAACTACACCTAAGCCTAAGATAAGAACACTTTTTAAACATTGTGATCAATGTGTGAACATATATAAGCATCCATTTTTTTTTTTGAACAAAGACTTACTTGATTAGCATCCGTTCAGTTGATTTTATCCTCCCTTTTTTTTCACGAAGCATTGGCTTCATGGATTCTTTTTTTCTCTACCTATTTTACCTCACAAACAACATATCAAACTGCGGATACCCTCATACCCAGGTTAATAATCCTTCTTTTGATATAAAATGTTTCACAGAAAACAGTTTGTTTTATTTTTATTTGATATTTTTCAAGTTATCATGCAAAAATCTAATTGATTTGATCAATGTGAACATTTATATTCTGTAGTAATATTTTTTTATCATTGCCTGAATAATTTTTAGTTGGATACTAAATAATATTTTTAATATGAAAATACATACATATATATATATATTTTGTATGTTTTCTTAAGCTTTGCAGTTTTAATAAAAAAAAAAATTCTTATATAAAAGAACAGAAGGAATATGATTAAACGACAAATGTCGTTTACATTTTTTGCTAAATGAACTGTAAAATGAATCGAGGTTAGGTGGTATAACGATATGCCTTTGCCAATAAACAAGCAAATAAGACGAAGACGTATTATATTAATATACCTCGAATTTTGGGTAACTTTGAGAAATATAACCCAAAACTCGAGAAGGTTAGGGGGGAGTGGGTATATTTGTCGCACTGGGAAAACTCAAATATTCTCTTTATTAATTTACTAATATACAGATTCCTATTTTGTTTACTATATTAATATTTATGCTTCATTCTCTTTGGACCAATCACACAAATGGTTGTGAACTTGTGATTCTGGAGATGAAAAACGATGAGTAGAATTAGCACGAATAACATCTATAAAAAACTGAATCAGACCTCGAATATCGAAAGCTAAACTACCGGACCAAAAAGTGTAGTATGTTAGAATAAAATTTGTTAGTGGGCTAGTGGTTTGCTTTGGTTCTTACACTTACGGGTGTAGTGTAAGTGTTCTAAGTAGAGTGATTTTTTTTTTTTCAACAACCCAATATTACATTACATTTGACCCGTTAAAGATTTGGTTTGAGAACCATCCTCAGTTGGTTCGGTATGAATGATTTGGGAAAAGAGAAAACTTCTTGCTCGAGTTCCTTTTGTAAGACTATATGCTCGGACATTTAAGGGATATGGGATAGCTCGAAATCGATGAAGTTTTCCCGAAGAGTGTGGAAGGTGTCCAACTCAGATAAGAAAGACGGCCAATCTGAAGGAGAGTCTGACATATTTACCAGGTCTGAGTAATTAGATTGGAAGTGTACCGATAATATTTGACGATCAAGCACACATGACATAGCCCATAAGAGACTCTCCAATTCCGCATGTAGAGGCGATAGACTTCGGCGGCTATCCTAAAGGCTGAAAGTCTCTCCCCCTGCCATCCTTCAGACTCCATTCGAAACCACTAACCAAACCGTTTCCTATCCAGGACGCATCGACCTGGCATACCGGAAACCTATGGGAGTCGGTTAGGGAATTCAGGAGCCAGGGAGATAGCGAATCCCCATCGGGATCCCCATCTGGATCTTCTTCCTCTTCTGCTGGTTGGTTTGCGGTCCTCCAGCTTTCTGCTTCAACCTTGGCATGGCTCAACGTCTCCACCGGGGAAATTTCTTTCCCGTTGAAAGTCTTGTCGTTCTTCGCTTTCCAGATAAACCATAGGATCCAAGGATAAATATCCTTTTGCGGATCTGTCATGCCTAACTCTTTTGTTTTCCAAAAGAGAAAATTCATATTTTGGTAAATAGAGGTACTCGGGAAGAGGCCCGGAAGGGACGAAAAGTCCGATAACGCCTAGGCTTGTAAGGCCGGGGGACATAAAAAAAAAGATGATTTATGGATTCTTCAGGATTCCCACAGCGGGGGCAGCTCCTATCCGTTTCCATATGTCTGTGAGAGAGGTTTTGGCGAGTAGCGATACATCCTGAGACGGCTTGCACATGAAATGCTTCATTTTTCCGGGCGTCCGAACTTTCCAAACGAAGCTTTGAAGTGCTGTGATACTCGGCTCTCTCACAACATCCAATTCTTGTTCAAGCCTTGATCTTCTAATCAGATCATATCCGGATTTAACTGTGTAAATTCCTGATTTAGTGTGGTTCCACGCAAAACCATTGAGAGTACGGGTCCTACTAGATCTCAACCCCAGAATAAGGGGGACATCCTCGGGATGGAAACATTGTCTGAGAAGATCTTCATACCATTGTTTCGTATCTTGACGGATAAAGAAGTAAACCAGCACTCCTGGACCCTGGATTTCGATCTGAGGGGTTGTCCTTGGTGGGCGGGCTCTAGAATCAGGGATCCAGGGTTCACTCCACGCTCTCGTATTTAGACCTAACCCGATCGTCTTCCTCAATCCCAATTTGAGGAAAGGTTTTGCAGCCAACATACTCCTCCATCCATAGGATGGTGAGTAGACATTTCAGTCCTCTAACGGATCCGATTGACGATAATATCTTCCTCTTAGCACCCGAGCCAAGAGCGATGAGGGATACTGAATAAGTCTCCATAATTGTTTTGCTAGGAGGGCTAGATTAAAATCGTTTATATCCCTAAAACCGAGGCATCCCATATCCTGGGGGTACAAATCTTGTCCCAGGCAATCCAGTGAATCCCACTACTATTTTGTTTTGAGCTCCACCAAAAATCAGCAATAGCACTACGTAGTTTGTCAGTGACTCCTTTTGGCAGAAGAAAGCAAGACATGACATAAGTCGGAATCGCTTGCGCCACTGATTTTATCTGAATCTCTTTTTCAGCTTTAGAAAGAAGTCTTGCCGACCAATTATTAACCTTCTTGCTTAAACGGTCATGCACGTACGAGAAGACCTTCTTTTTGGATCCACATATTTGTTCCGGAAGCCCAAGATACATACCCATGCCTCCTTCAGTAGAAATGCCTATAGTGTTTTTTATTGCTCTTTTGAGATCTGGTTCCACTCTATTACCGAACATGATTGAGGAATTGCCCAGATTTAGTTGTTGACCCGACGCCCTTTCGTAGGAGTTAATAATACTATAGATTTCCGCTCCCTGCTGGATATCTGCTTTGCAGAAGAAAAGACTATCATCAGCAAATAGAAGGTGGGAGACTGGGGGACTTGCTTGGGCTATTTTCAGCCCAGAAATGCGTTCTTCCGTCTCAGCTCCCTTGAGGAGCGAGATGAGCCCCTCCGTACACAGGATAAAGAGGAACGGGGAAAGGGGATCACCTTGCCTCAATCCTCTTGATGGTTTTATATTCCCCGAGGGCGATCCATTGATGAGGACTTGATATGAGACTGAGGATATACAGAACATTAGAAGTTTAACCCATCTCGGAGCGAAACCTAATCTGAGAAGTAAGGCTTCTAAAAAACCCTATTCCACTCGATCATAGGCTTTACTCATGTCTGTTTTGATAGCCATAAAACTTTCTCTGCATATCGGGTTTGTACGGAGGGCATGGAAATTTTCTTGTGCCAACAAAATGTTGTCTGTGATAAGACGTCTAGCCATGAAGGCCGATTGCGTTTCTGATACCAAGTTTGGTAAAGTCCTTTTAAGACGTTTACATAGCAGCTTCGATATTATCTTGTAACTTACGTTACAGAGGCTGATTGGCCTGAATTCCGACATCGCTCTAGGTTTGTCTGTTTTTGGAATTAAGCATATATTAGTCTGGTTAAGTCTTGAATCAAAGGATCCTGAGGCAACAAAAATCTTTGAATAATTTTACAACATCTTGGCGGATAACCAGCCAGAATTTTTGATAGAATTTACTCGTCATGCCATCCGGCCCTGGTGCTTTGTCCGGGTTAATATCGAAGAGCACTTCTCTGATTTTTTCTCCGTCGGATCCTCCAAAAGTAGTCAGTTTGAATTTTCTGAGACTTTCTCGGAAATGTATCGGAGTACGGTTTCCGGGTCCTGTGGTTGTGACGAAGAAAACAATTCCTGGAAGTATTGGCCAGCCACTCGCTCTATCCCACATGCATTTTCCACCAAACGTCCTTTGCTATCTTTGAGAGAGACTATACGATTTCTAGCTCGCTGTTGCTTTGTGAGGGCATGGAAGAATTTGGTATTTTTATCTCCTTCTTGATGCCATATTTCACGACTTTTCTGCTTCCAATACATTTCTACTTCTCGAAGGGCTGCACATAGCATCCTCCGGATTTTTTCAATGTCCTCGAGGGTCAAGTTGTCGTCATCTTGAACCAAATCAAGTTGAAGCTTCAATTCTTCAATTCTTTTCTCCAAGTTAGTCTGGAGAGATTTTTTCCAAAATGAGATGTTTTTCCAGCATTGTGCTACTTTTTGATGAAAATCTCGGCGTGAGATTTCATTAAAAGAGCCCCATCCTGAAACAACTGTCTCTTTAAATCCTAGTTTTCCAATCCATCTTTTGTTGAAACGGAAGGACTTTTTCTTTCTTTTGTTATCCATTTTGATCAAAGCTAAGACGGGCTGGTGATCAGAACCCCAAAGTTTCATATATTCCACAGAAGTATGGGAAAATTTTGAAAGCCATTCTTCATTCCCGAGAGCTCTATCAAGGCGGCATTTTACTTTGCCTGAGCGTCTTCTTCCCACCCAGGAGAATGAATTTCCTTTATATGGAAGATCCAGCATCCCACAATTATCTATCATGGTGCGAAAAGGGATAAAGGAAAGTTCAGATCTTCTCCTTCCACCCCGCTTCTCATGGTTCCCGATAATCTCATTAAAATCCCCAATCATAAACCAAGCTTCTTTCCGAGTTAAGCCTATTCTTGTTAGTCGTTCCCAAACATTCTCTCGGTTTTTAATAACCCGATCACCATAGACGAAAGTCATAAAAATTTTGTGTCCGACTAAACTTGATTCCACATCAATCAAATGCTCATCCGAATAGTGAATAGAAACCGAAGGTTCATCCATATAAAACAGGGCTAGACCGCCGCTTCGACCTCTCGGTTCAACGGTACAAACATGGTCATAGCCAAAATAAACTTGCATATCTTGTAAAAAACTACGGTTGTTCTTAGTCTCTGATAAAAATAAAAAACGAGGAAAAAAACAGTAGTGCAATTCTTCGAGGTGTTCCTTCGTCAGGTCGGCATCCGCGCCCTGACAGTTTCAACCTATCACGTTCATTTGGACCGGTTAGCTGGTTTATGGGCTCCTCCCAAACCAGATGATGAAGGCTTTGATTTCTGGGCCTTTGCAGGCTTGTCTCCTTTGTACTTGTCTTTTTTTCCGTCATTTGGGCCTGACCCTGGAGGGGGGGGGGGCTTATTTTTTCCTTTGGCTTTGGGTGAGATGCGGCCCATCGGGAAGCTCCTCTTCTTCAAAGAAACCCCTATCGTCGCCGGTGATCTTGGAACCTTTGGCTTCTTCCCGGCCGACTTACCATAATCCCCGAGGCTGGAATCGATTCGCCCTCAACCGAATTAGGCGGGGTTCTCCACCATGATGCCCTCAGCTTTAGCGGGATAGCCTCCTCTTGATCACTTATCTCGAAATCCCGGGTTTTTTGCTCCTCCGGGATCGCATCTTCACCAAGGAGGTCATCGCCTTTCAGAAGCTCCTCCAGTTCCCCCTCGTCTAACAGGTCAGAGTCATCCAGCCATTCATCTTCTTCCGCAATTCCTTCAATGAAGTTAGAAGATATCATGAAATCTGGATCCGCCTGAGTCTCATCCTCCATGATATCGTCCTCAACAGGAGAAGGGATACACAGACCTTCAAGCTCTTCGCCTGCAGACGCCTCGACAAAAGATTCAAGGGTGTTAACCTGATTCTCGTCCTCCTGCATCGGAACCTCATCCTCCTGCATCGGATTCTCATCCTCCTGCATTGGTTCCACAGCTTCCTCCTCTTCTTCTTCTAAGGTCTGCTCATACCAGCTTTTAGAGTTAAAGATTTGCGGGTGAAAAATTCCTCCAGTGGAGTCGGGTTCAATTAGTTTAGGTAGGAGCCGAGACTTCATGGTTGTCAGGTTCAAACAGGAGAGCTTTCTTGGCAGAACTGCCTGCTTCTGAAGATTCCCCAGCTTCACTAACTCTGCTGTTTGATTTGCTTAGAAAGTTTAAACGGAAAGGCCGACTTTTCACATGATCAGGGGAAATAGGGCCTTGCTTCGCTTTGGAAGCAGAATACCGTGGAGGGTCATCAGAGATTGTTCTCTGGGAATGAGAGGATTGTTTCGAATGATGTTGATATTCCGGTAATGGAGGTTTTCCGGATAGAGGGAATTTCTTAGTGATGTAAGGATTCTCCTTGCCTTTCCCCTTCTCTCTCACTTTTTCTTTTTCTTCCACTTGCGCTTGCTATTCGCAAAAGATTCCTCATACCTCCTTTTGCGGTAAACATTTTCAGCTTGATGAGGGTGATCTCTGCCTCTGTAGATTTGTTCCTCCTCAGGGACATAGCGTCGTTCAAAGTGACGGGCTTCAGATCGGTAATCTCTACTCGGCTCAAGTCTATTCCATACACTTGCACTTCGATTATCATCGTTTTTCCTCACCTCAGTATCTCGTGGATCCCTTCTATCTTTTTCACCAGCTCTCTCTTCATTTGCAGGGATCAGGATGCTACGGTTTTCAGCAAGGTGGTTTGCAGCAGGAGCTCTTTCACGTGTCGGGGCAGAAATCTGGCCGGCTTGTCTGCACAGGTGGAGGATATCCCTATCACGGATAAGATCCTCTCTCAGAGTTTGGTTCAGGTTACGTTCAGCTTCCCTTTCCTTCATATTTTCTTTCCTTTGATCTTCTGATAACAGGGGACAAGATCTTTCATCATAAGAGATATGCCTACACGTGAGACACCACCTGTCCAGCCGTTCGTATTTCATTTCTACCCTGACTAGTTCGCCAGATTGGAGCCGAGCTTTTGCGGCAAACTTCAGAGGTTCATCGGCGTTGAGAGAGACTTGTACTCTGGCTGCACGAGCATCAACCGCCGTCACCCTTCCCAAACGGCTACCAATTGCTTCGAAGTTTTCTTTCAGCCAAAAATGAGTTGGAATACCAGAGATCCAAATCCAGAAAGTCATGTTATTGGGGAAATATTCACCAACGTGCGGGATCCAGCGTTCAAGGGAGAAAGACCATTTGGTAAAGTGGCAAGGTCTCTTACTGAGGACCTTCAAGAGGTCGGCTTCAGAGTCAAAATTGAACTGGAATCTGGAATTTCCCAGATCGATTCCATGAACTCTTCCCTCAACATCCCAGATATTGTGGCGAGGCATGAAGGAGATGAGGGCCTCGGTGCTTCTGATTTCGGTGTTAAACATACGACCAACCAAGCTTCTACTGAATCTCGCAATGAGGTGGGAGTTATCGACATGTGGAAGTTCGATAATTTCTTCATCATCTTCATCCAAGTGAGTGTTTTTAACTAGAGCTTTTGGCCGATCCATTTTGAAACAAGCTAAGGTAAAAGAATGTAGGTTGATGATCTTATCAGGACGACAGAGGATGAGGACAGGGGTAGGCTAAGAAAGAGGCGAAATCCAGTGAGTATCTTAGCTTAAGCTAGAGGTCTTCAAACATTACAGGAACAGGCGAGAAAAAGTACTTCCCTTCTGGGTTGCTTCTTAAGGGTAGAGATGGTTTCCCTTTTGAAACGAGATGTAACTAGCAGAGAGCAGTGGACGCGGAAGGAGGGAGCGCGGAACAGAGAAACCATTCTTTAGAAGCTGCAGGACGTCAAAGTGGGTCTTGAAGTCGACAAAGAGAACTCTTGTGGGTGGAGACTTGTAGAGGGGCCGAGAACTTTGACTAGGGGGTCAACAGGTCCTTACAGCAACCCGAGAAGGACCGTTTGTAGCGGTAGCAAGGAGGGTTCATGGCGTTTTCCGGCGACAAGAGAAGGAAAAGAGAGAAGAATCAGTTATTTCGGGTAAAAAAGAAGGGTTTTAGAAAGGTAAAAGTAGATCTGAATCATTTTTGGTAATTCTCGAAGGTTGTGTCTGGGAGAGAAATTTTAACTCATGGATGTTATTCGATGCAAATGACAACCTCTTCTAAGTAGAGTGATTAAGTGTTGAGTTTGTTTTTTTTTCACAACTGTTGAATTTATGATATACCGAGTATTTTTTTTGATGCATGGACTGATAGACAATGGGAAAAAAGTGTAAGATTAAAATTCCATAATTAGCACAAACTATTGTGTTAAAAATTAGCACAAATAAGACTGTAATATTATTTTGGATTTTCTTTTCCAATTTAGGGTTTTAGCTTTTTCATATTAAAAAGAGATTTTGAGTCATTTTAATATTGAATATGTGCTATTATTAAAATTTTAAATTAATGATGCTATGTTTGGAATAAAAACTTAAAATTAAACCATTTTAGCCATTTTCCCAATATATTTTTCTAATGATGATCAAAGATGTCATAGTCTCTTGCTAAGTGATCCTCCGCCTTCTCAAATATTTTGGACGAGTTTTGTTATCAACAAAAAATTTTAGGACATACGTATAACGTATCTATTCTGTCTAGCTAAAATACAATTTTTGTAAATACGGTTTCTATAGAGAGCAACTAATGTAAATGTTATTTTTTCTCAAATTTAAACGTGTTGTAACTTGTAAGAAATTTGACTGAGAAAGGTAGGCTCAGCTATTTATGTTTTAAGGTCGCTGAAAAACGAAGAACTAGAAAGCTTAAAGAAAAGAAAAGAGAAAAAATTAAAGGCCTAGCCTAGTGGGAGTCTCTTGGGCCTTGTGGACCCGAGTTCTACCTTATGATTTGTCACTCTTCTTAGACCTCCACACACCTAATCAATTGACTCCGAAGTCTTATCAAAGAGACAAAGATGGTCCCTTTTTTAATTCTTTTTTTTTGTTTTCCTAATTTCTTTCTAATCCAATATTAGTTTTGAATAGAGTTAAGTGGGAATACACTTTTGCCAATCAAAATGATTTTGCCAGCTACATCGACAATACCTTCAAACTTTTTCATATTTGGTTTTAGAGAAAACGTATTATATATAGTGTATACTATACTTACTTAGTTTAAAGATATGAAACAGATGTAAGTCGAGAAGATGATGACAATCAAAAGAGAAATACCAAGTAAAAAGAAAAGAGTAAAGAAGATAATTGTTTATTAGAGTATGAATACAGTGAGAAACTTGATAAGTGAAACATAATCCAACCATAAGTCTCAACACAAACCAGAAAGAGCATTTGAAGTTACCGATAAGAGTAAACGCTTACGCAGCTGCTGTGATGTACTCGATTGCCTCCTTGCAGATACCTGTCATTGTTGCTTCAGGACCATACACCTTGAACCAAAACAGCCAGGCAAAAACAGTAAGAATCAAGTAAGCAGATAATGTGTTTTGAGTTTATTATATATATATATATATATATATATATACCTCGATGGGGACACCGATTTCATCTCCAAGTGATCTCATTTTAGCAAGTCCCTTTTGGTAGTTTGGTCCTCCTCTCCTCACAAATATATGCATCCTTGCTGCTTTCAGCTTTGCCTCCTGTTAAAAAAAACAAATGGTTGAAGAAAGCTCATTTATACTTAGTTATTTTATATTCTTTTCTTGCTTTACCTTTTCCTTGAGAGCTCGGATTATGCCATTGAATGTAGCGGCAACATCGGTGAAGTTAGCAATTCCTCCTCCGATTACGAGAGCTCTGCTTTTTCCATCGGGATTCGCTGTAGCACACTGCAGAAATTGGCAAGTATTTTAGTCAGAAGCGTCTTTTATGTTTGGTTGGTTTCAGATGTTTTTATGTGGATGGAGAAAACAAAAGAGAAAAGCATCTTACGTCGATGACGACTCTAGCGTACTGCAAAACCTCGTCTTCTTTGGGTGCTCCACTGTATTCAGCATAATTTCCAAGCTCAGATGCATACCCGAGATCTCCAACCTGGATAACATTTTAGAAGACACCTCAGAGGCTAAGACTTGTTAGAAGAAGAAAATGCAGTTGATTAAGCAGTATGTGTTTTTTCATATAGAAACATACAGTATCGGCGTAGATGACACTTGCACCTCCTCCAGCTACCATAGTCCAAATTCTTCCTTTGGGATTCAGAACGGTGAACTTCAAAGATGCACTTGTCTGCATATACAAAATGGTCAGAAGAGTCATACAGAAACTACTGTTTCTTGAAGCGTCAACTTCTACACAGATTGGTAATGATACCTTTTCATCTAGACCGTGGATGAAGCTCTCTGTGGGGCTCATCACTCTTCCAAATGGCATTGGGAATTCAATGTCGCCCCACCTGAAAAGAGGTTAAGCATATCGCTTAAACACAGGATGGCTTATCATGCATTCCTGAAGCTCTTGGCTTCGAACAGTTGAAAAAAAAGTCAAGAGCCAAACTTACTTCTTAAAGTTTTTGAAAGCAGCGGTGTCATCAAGCTCACCCCTCATATCCAGAGGATAAGGCTTTCCATTAACCAATGCGAAAGGATTCATCTCCAAGAAAGTGAAATCAAGATCTAGTGCCCATGAAAAAATAAGAGAATAATAAAAGCTTCAGTTGTTGGTTAAAGATTTTGTCACTACGAATCTAATTAGATTCGTGTGTAAAATCAGTGACATTTGGCGTACCTTGGAATAGGGTAAAAATAACTTGAATAAAATCTTCAAGTTCCCCTTTGATCTGTACGTGGAAGATTTATGAGTCGAAATTGCAAGTCCAAACTCAGTAGTATGTTTCAATACAAAACTTCAGCTTCAATATACCTCTAGAGGAAGAGTTGCAACAAGAGGTGCACATATCTCAGGTGTCAGGGCGGAACCCGTAGGTACAGATATGGTCTTGACCTTTTAAAAAGTGGAGTCTCGACTCAATTTTCAGCTTTTACGGTAAGAAGTAGTGAAACAGACACTAGGAAGTAAATGAAAACGCATCCAAAGTTAAAATACCTTGTCCCAGTTCTCCTCGATGTCAATTCCTCCGCACTCTGAAAAGCTTATGCTACAGCCAAGTCTATCCGAGACAATATTAAGATAGAACTCCTCATTGTGTGGGATAAAAGGTTCGACGATGAATGTTGTTATGGGTCCTTTGCATCCACTCATCTCTACCTGTAGATGACAGATAGACAAAGCTAAATATAGAAGTACAGGGAAGGAAACAAGGTAAGAAAAAGATGGTCTCAGATCATTAGCAGCCCATTTTAAACAAGTTACCTCTTTTCCCAAGCGCTCTTTCACAAAAGTTGCAACGTCAGCGAAATCTAAGTTCAAGGCAACCAAACCACTTTTGCCACGCTTTCCAAACAACATGTCAGGTTTCACCACCAGCTTCTCGGATGAGAGCCAAGGCTCCTTCTCTACTAGCTCATTCAGATCGGTCTCTTGGTTAATCTACACATATTTCAATGAACGTGTCACATAAAAAAGCTTTAACAACAGAACAGGTAAGAGCACTATACAATTCAGAACTGTAAAGAAAACAAACATCAAATGATGTAGCCGGAAAGAGTCATCGCCAATGTGCTTATGCGATCATCATAGATATATACATGGTAGATCAAGCAGAAGCAAATATCCATTGAGATTCCTGAAACTTATCGAACTAATGTTGCAGGTTTTTCACTTGAAACAGTATTTTTGACAAAATGCTGCAGTTTTTTAACATTACTAAGGGACACTTTCTTAATCTAACAAGAAAAACAAAAAAAAAAAGCATCTTCTGGGTTTTAAACAACTGATTCATTTCGGAGAAACCAATGCACTCAACAAAAGGTTTTAAATCCTGGAAAATTGATCTTTACCTGAACGGATCTGATAGGCAATTCTTTGCCGGAAAGTCTTTGAAAGTGTTCCTTCACCAGTCTCTTTGAGTCGTACTCTCTGATCTTCTTGCGAGCCATTTCTCAGAACGAAACTAGAGAAACAAGACGAGAGAAAAAAACAAATCGATAAATCTCACAGATCCAGCACAATGAATCACACTGGTTTCGCGAACAGATCGCTAACAATTCGACTCGGGGATCTCGCAATCAAACAGCAAAAATATTTCAAAAATGAGCCCAATGACGATTCAAAACACTAGCAAATTTCACTGGATCAAACTTGAGAGGGCAATGTGGAACATCAAATCGACCACAATGGCAAACGAGAGAGACAGAGATAGAGAGTGAGTTTCAACAAATTTACGATACGAAGATATGATTCGACATTAACAGACCTCTGGATTCTAGAAGGATTCGAAGGAGAAAATGACAGAGATCAAAGGAGAAATCGATGGAAAATGGCGGATCTTACCGTTGAGAGTGAAAGGAGGAAGGAGGTAGCTACAGCTTTTGGTAGTTAGCGAACAAAATCGAGACCTCTCTCGTTTCTATTGCTAAGGACCGTATTTATATTTTGAACATTATCTTTTTTTTTTTTCATTTCTTTCCTCTTCTAAATTCTCAGTAACAATCCTTTTTTTTTTAAGTAAACAATTTTTTCTAGATAAGTAAAAAAACAATTTTACTGAATTAATTTTTGTATTTTTTCCATTTTGATCATATTGAATTGAGAAACATGTAAAAAATGCATCACTTAATAAGTAAAACTACTAACCAGTCTTTTTGAAACATTTAATGGTGTTTTCAGATTATTTTACAACTTCCCACTTTACATGTTTTTGTTTTTATTTGTAACAAAATAAATAAAAATGATATATACAAAGTTGTAAAGTTTTGTTTTTAAATAAAGATATATAGTTGTAAAACTCTTTTTTTTTAAAATAAAAGATGAATAGTTGTAAAACCTTGGGAGTTACTCTTCCATCAAGAAGCTGGTGAACGTTCGTCCATAAAAGCTACCTAACTTGTAAGCCAACGTTTCAACTCCCAACCATTTGTTTTTATTTTATTTTATTTTATTTTGGTCAATTGTTTTTTTTTCTATTCAATATTTTTTCTATTAATTCCCGTTAGTTAATGCGAAAAGACATGGTCCATTATAACAGATTACTTTTTGGTACTTCACTGAAATTCCAAAATAAAATTAATTCATTTGAATCTTACATTTAAAAGGTTTTATTAACTCAGATCCGTTCAGGTTAGATTCCAAATAAATACAGATCTATCAATTATTGATTCTTTACCTTTTGTTTTCTTGGGTAAAGCCTCTCATCCAGAGATAATTCAACTTTCTCTGCTGGGCCATTGTCAACATATCAGAAAGAATGTTAGCATCACTTCACTTCTGTTAGGAAAATTATCCAACTCTTTTTCGTGTGATTAAAATAGTTATTAGGAAAGGAATTTTACCAAAGTAGTTTACTTGGAGAAACTCTATGTGAGCATCTCTATATTCTTATTTGAGTAGACATCTCTATATTATTATTTGAGTAGACATCTTTATATTATTATTTGAGTAGATATTTAAAAAATATTTTTATTTTGTAAAATATTATATGATATACCATTACAAATAACAAAGAATAATTAAAATAGGAAAGGTTATAGTTGTTTTTCAATTCTATTGATAATATATGAAAAAATCTTTTTTTCTCATTTAATAAAGTATATTTCTTATTTAATTTCTAAATTCAAAATATGGTAGTTTTTATATTTTTCGTTTCAAATAATATTATAAAATATATTTAATTAAAAAACATGAAATAAGTTTTGGTACAATTAAATAATAAAAAAATCAAGATTAAAAGTTATGCTATTAAAAAGGTGGTGAAATATTTATTACAATATTTTTTACATTTAATTGATTATGTACAAAAATATTTTTTTTAAGTTATTTTTATTAAAAATTTTATATGAGAACATTGATTTTTAAAATAAAAATTTTTTTGGTGAAATGATAGTTATTGAACGGTGGATATTATAATTATTTTTTAAATTTTAATCTAGTAAAAACATGTTAAGTAAACGGGTTAGTTCGATATGAACGAATTATAATTCTTTTTTTTTAATTTTCACCAAAAAATCCCACAATTCCAAATATTAATATTTATAATAGGTAATATATTCAATATACTAAATATTATAAATTTTCTTTTAAAATTAAATATAGTTTCTTGTATATTTATTTATTATATATCAAACCTAAACCTGTGTAAATAATATTATATTATTTTTCATATATATTTAAAAAAGATAAATTCATCTTTTATAGTTATGGACAGATTATAAAAATAAGTTATTAAACAATGTAAATTAGAATTGAATTGATGATTACGATATTATAATATTTTGTATATTAGTTTAAATAATATTTTAGTTTAATGCCAATGGGTTAAAAACAACTTATTTTGCTTTACACGCTTTTAAAATAAATTTATATACGGATTAACTCATTTTATATAATTTAAAAAATAAAATTTTTATACAGATCAACTCATTTTTTAAAATTCACAAAATATGCGCTATATTATTTTAAACTTTATAACAATAATTTTTTTTTTTTTACAAAATAACTGTTTTTATAAAATTATTTTTAAATTAATTTAAAGTCAAAAATATATCCCGCGCTATAGCACGGATTAATCCCTAGTCGTACATATGCTACCAAATACTCCTATTTATACTAATGGTGAGTAAATGCTAGTCCAGTATAATTATTTCTTGAGAAAATTGAAAATATAGGAAAAAAAATGAAGAACATTATCCCTTAATACTTTTTAAGTTTTGGCAATTTCAGATTAAAATAGCTTTTTCAAATACTTTAAATTTTTAGAATACATATTTATATCTAATTATAAATTCTAAAAATTTCAAAAAGAAAGAAATATCATTCAAAAATTCGTTTTATAAAATAATAATATATAAATTTTAGTTTTAAACATATTCCAGAAAACGTGTTTTATAATTATAGTGTTTTATAGAATTTGTTTTTTATTATTTGGTCTATTGTTGGAGGTAAAAACCGCACCTCTGGTTTTCTCTGATACAAACCGAGATTGATATCATTAAACCAGGTTTACGAAAGAAGTGTACCAAAAAAACTGGGTTCGAAGAGCTCCCGGGCCGAACTAGGCCCACGGATATTGAGTCGGCGGAACTTCCTAAAGAGAATCAGAAATGTTCTTAGAACCGAACAAAAAGGAAAGTCCCGAGAGAAATAGAACGTTCTCTCAGTCCTATATCGAAGAGAAACCTTGTATAAACCGACTTAGAATACATATATAAAAAGAGAGGAATCAACACCAGAAGACACAAGAAAACCCCGAGAGACCTGGAGATTAAGAGCAAGAGATATTCAGAGCATCTTAGTTTCCTTAAGTCTCAATTCGTTTATCATTATCTAATAAACAAATTCAATTGTATTTTTCCGATCTGATATTAATAAAACCGAGCTTCGATCTAGATTGTTTAAAACTCAATAGACTGGCTCTCTCCTTCCTTTGGCTGCATCAGTTGGTTTTCTTTTTCTTTTTGCCTTTGCTGCCTTCACACCTTCTGGATGCAGTATTGATTCATCTCCTCCATGAAAATGCGAGCTACAAGACTGTGTAGAACCATAATCTTTCCTTCTTATTTTAGACTGTCCATTTCCTGAAGTTGGACACCATTTTGGATCATGTCTAAGCTCCCTCCAAGCATGTTCCAATGTGAAATTGGTATTGTGATCATTCAAGTAAATCTGGTTTGCAAACTTCAAAATGTCATTATCGTTTTGCCCACTTGATCTCTGAGTTGAAGCAGCCTCAAAGCAACCCACAAATTTGCATAGTTGCTCATTTATCTTCGACCATCTACTCTTGCATTGAGCCGGCACTCTCTTTTCCATTTCAGCTAGCTTACTCCTCGATGCATAATAAGCCGCAATTCTTTTCCAGAATGCCTCTCCTTTCTGCTCATTCCCAACTATGTGATCTTTACTTGTGTTAAGCAAAGCAGAAATGAGAACAAGATCTTCTATTGGAGACTATTTTCTTCTTGACTTTCTACCCTCTTTTGGTGTGTTTTCATCTTCTTTGGCTGTGCTTTCATCATTGGACCATTGAGTTCCAAACACTTGGGTTTCTGATTCATCAATGTTAATACTTGGTGAAATGCTCTCATAAAGACTCGGTTGAAGGCTGTTTGGGTTTTGTTGACTGTTTAAAAGGTTAAGGAAGCCAAAGTATGTATATGGATTCGTAGGATCCATATGTGTCCTCAATGGCTTTTTAAACAAGATGAGAAGAGAATGATAAAGGGTTTTTTCTTGAGTAAAAGAGAAGGTTATTTTTCAGTGTTGTTTAAAGGAGAAAGAAGAAGCGAAGGAGGAACTGTTTTAGCTTGTGTTAATGGAGGCTTAACAATGAAGAAGGGAGAAAATGTTTGTGTTGTTTAAAGAATAAGAAAAGAGAACCTTGTGTTGGTGTGGTTAGCTTTAAATGTATTCTTAAAGGTGTATTGTTAGCTTTAAGTTACACCAACAACCTTGTGTTGGTGTGGTTAGCAGTCACTGTTATACTAATTTCTTCACCTAACCTCAAACAACAAAGTATTGACACATTCAAGCATTCAATCCTTTTCAAACTCATACCTAACACTAACTCTAATCCGCAGACTCATTCATTTTCAAACTTATACATTCTCTAAAACTAACCATCAATCGCAGAAAACAGAGCATCCATCAAAGACTCAAACCATCACAACAATAACCATATACATGATAACACCTGATTTTGACCATTTTTATGGATCACTTTAATGTCTTTTACGGGTGTTTTTACTCCATTTTCAAAGGATTTCTATGTTTTTGGATTTTAAAAGACTTTTCAGGTAATTTGGGATAAAGATGCACAAATTAGAACAAAAAAACTCTTTTAGATAAATGCAGACCGTCAGAACTCTCATGGAGAGACGAAGACCTTCTCATCGTCTGATCACCCTCAAAATTGGACAACTTATAGAAGAATCAACCAGCTTTCACATGCATTTGGTTTGGAGACATTCCAAAGATTAGAAGATATTCCATTTTCCCCGGAGACACTCAAAGACGGCCAGTAAGTCATGCGACCGCGGCCACCAACCTATCCACCGCGGTCACAAGCTTCACGACCGCGGCCAGACCTCTATTTCCCATGGCCACGCTACTCCCGACCGCGGCCGGCCAACTCCGATTAAAAGCCCATATTTCTAAAGTCTAAAGTCATTTCTCTGCTTTAATTCCAGAACCCTAGAGACCATGGAGTATTGAAGACTATAAATACTTGTCATTTATGTAGTTTTTAGACAACACCTTCATACTTTTACAAAAACCCTTTTTCCTTCAGCCTTTTTATGCGATTTTTAGAGAAGATTGTTCAACTCTGAGTTCTTCAATAGAGAAGCTTTCTTTCATCTCTTTTCTTTACTGTTTTTGATTGATTTTACTAAAACCAATGATGATGTCGACCTCAGCAATGTCTGAGTAAATCCCGAGTTGGGCTTAGGGTTCCCGAAAAGGGCTCTCATAATCGATTAAGACATCTAGGTTTATAGATCTGGGATTTTAACTTTGTTCTCTGTTTATTATCGTTCTTATTGCATGTATGCTTGATTGATCACCTCGTATCTGATATAGATAGTTAGTGTTGCGAACGTTTTCATTAAGTATCAGACCTAGAATGAAACAGGCGATTTTCCCGTAGGAGTGGAAACCTACCTGCGGCGAAATCGTGAGTACTGACGAGTCCTGTACAGCTCTTGCGTTCTCTCCCTTCCAGGGCCAGAGTGGAAACCTACTGGTCAGGGTTGCGAGAAACAGTTGTTTATGATCACGACAGTGACGTAGTCATACCGCCGTACTCTAGCTCTAGAACCCTATATTTTGATATCCATCAATCCCAATCTATAATCACTTGTATTGAAACCGATTATGATCCCTGTAGAGTTCCCAAAAGCGCAACGTTTTTAGCCATAGTTTACAAACCAATCGATTTTTACCAAGCTCATTTAGATCTGCATTTCATTTGCTTTAGTTCGATATTCTGCTTGCTTCAATTGCCTGTCATTCGATTTTCTATTTGCTCTTTAGGATAGATTTATTTGCTTTCTTTAGTTTCATTTAATCCGTGACAAACAACCAACCTCTAAAACCAATCTAGTCTAGACATAAAGTTAGAAACCGCAGAAGAATACCAGACACACAAATCTCTGTGGATTCGATTCTTAAGTACTACAACTGATTAGCTGTGCACTTGTGGCTTTCATTTGTTTTTATTAAGGATAAAACTTGTTCCCTCTCGCAGTAGTCACATCAAGTTTTTGGCGCCGTTGCCGGGGATTTGTTTCGCTGCCTTTGTTATTTTTCTTGTTCTAATTTCTGTTCTAGACATCTAATCTCTAGTTCTTTCTTAAAGTTTGCTGAATTATCGTTCCCTTCTTTTGTTTTTCTCTGAATTGCATGAATACTAGGCGTAGACCTGTGGAAAACATTCCAATTCTAGATGAGATAGACAGACACGAAAGAGTACTTTAAAGACTTAGACGAACGCAAGGAATGGCCGACGACGACCAGCCTGGAGATCCTGTTAACCGAACTTTAAACATGGACCAAGATGGGTCCGAACATAGTGAAAATGAAGGAAACGATCACAGAGAAGGTGATCATTGTCGACAAGATGGAGAGGAGAATGAGGTTCCTCCAAGAAACCCTCAAAACCGAGAGAGAGAAGAACGTGAAGACCATTATGCACCTATCAATGCAGCCGATGGTAACAACCAGGAGATGCAGCTGAATGGGTGCGTTAACGGCCCTGTTCAGAAAGCAAATCAACACCGAAGACAAGTCAGGAACCATTGCATAGCTGATTTCGATGCACCTACTCAGAATTTTTAGAACCGATCCGTAATCCAAGTACCATTTCCGAATCGGAATGAGTTTGAAGTCAAGCCTCAAATCATCTCTTTGGTGAAACAAAACCAATTCCATGGAGTTCTTTCTGAACTTCCAATGGACCATATCGAACTATTTGAAGAAATCTGCAGCATGATGAGGACAAACCAAGTTCCAGTAGGCTATTTAAAGTGTAAGTTCCCTTTTTCATTAGCAGATAAAGCTCACCGTTGGTTGAAATCTTTGCCTGCAGGATCGATTACTAATTGGGAAGAATGTAAAACTGCTTTTCAGAACCACTTCTATACTAAGTCAAGGTCAAACTTGCTGAGAACCAAGATCTCAAGCTTTCAGCAAGGACCGACTGAACCTTTCTATGAAGCCTGGGAACATTTTAAAGAATATGAACGTAACTGCCCTCACCATGGATTTCCTGGATCAAGCCTGTTGAGCACATTTTACCGAGGTTTGCAACCAAAATACAAACTTTCGCTTGATACAGCTAGAAATGAAGACTTTGGACAAAAGATGATAGCACAAGGAAGATCCCTCATCGAAAATTTGGCTCAGCCCAATAGCAATGATTGTCCTGAATACGATTGCTCGGCAAAGCAAACCAAAACAGACAACAAGGAGATAACCGAGTTGAAGAACATGATGAGCCAGCTTTTGAAAAGCAACAATCGCCCAATCCATGCTTGTGAGACCAACAATGGCGCAGAAGACGAAGTATCTTATGATATCAATCACATTAATCCAACCTTTCAAGAAGAAGAAGTGACTATGTAGGAGCACAGGCACCGTATCCAAATCGTTTCAACAATGGCTTCAACAACAACTTCCAGAATGCAAACTACAACAATCTCTCTTATCGCAATCCAAATGTGGAGAACCCTCAGGATCAGCATTACCCACCGCAGCAGAGATCCTCCCAAAAAAAGTTCCAAGGTGGAAATTTCGGAGGGACATGAGCTTATCAGCCGCGACAGCCATATAACTATCAAGGTACGGGTTTTAACAATTAATTTGTACAACAGCAAGGAGTCACAACGAATCAGCTAGCTTCAAAAATCGGGAGACTTGAACTGTCCATCCAACAGCTTGTTATGACAAATGAGAAAGCATCTAAAAACATGAATGTGAAAGTCGACTGCATGTACAATGACCTGAACGGGAAGTTTGAAGCTTTATATTCGCACGTCAAAAAGCTAGGCGTACAAGTTGCACAAACAGACGACTCTATGAAGAGACAAAGTAAAGCTCTTCCCGGAAGAGCTGAAGATAATCCCAAGAGATTCTACAATGTCATAACCACGCTGCCCGAAGAAGAAGCCAGAGCCGATGGAAAAGATGAAGAAACCCCAATCTTTATTCTACTCTACAAAGATGTCGATGCCAAGCAGCCACCATTCAAGGTACCTCAACGTTCACCGTTTCAAAGGCTTACAAAAGCCGACGACCCGGGACATTTTGTTTTCCAATGTTTCATTTCAAGAATCAAGTTCACAGACTGTCTATGCAATTCCGGAGCCAATGTCAACATTATGTCAAAGACATTTGCCGAAAATATTAGGCATAAAAACTTTAAGGACTTCGACAGTCAAGGTTATCTTTGGAGATTCATCTCAAAAAGATACTGAAGGAGCGATTCATGATCTACAAGTTCTAGTAGGAGACAAGATTGTTCCGGCAGATTTCCAATTTCTGGAAATGGATCAAGACAAGGAGAGACCACTCATATTCGCTGTCCTAGACGATTTTTCAAGTAAAGGAAATCGGCCAAAAGAGAATGAAAAGGAGAAGCCGAGAGCTTTTGCTAAGATCAAGATCATCATTCCACCAGATGCAACAGAGACTAGAGAGGACCAAATCCAGGAGCTGATCGAGAACACAAAAAGAAATTTAAACAACGTTAAAGTCCGAAAGAAGAGTAAAAGAAAGAAGATGGCTCCTCAAGGAGAAGAAGTTAAACCTTCAGA